TAAGTATTTTATTTTTTCAATTTTTATTGGTCATTGAAAGGGTAAAGTTTCTAAGCTGGAAGGCTTGAATTTAAATGTAAAAGATTAGGTATTATTGAGTTCCTCTGTTACACCCAGATTCCTGAGATAGTTAAGACAACACCCTACTAGCCATTTAGCCTAGGGCCCTGTGCAGTTTGTCACAGGGCCGGAACCAATCAGTTTGAATGTGTACCCCGCTTAGGAATGACCAATCACCCCTGCCCGAGCTGTTCCCGCCAATGAATTTGCCAATCACGTCTCAGAGTTGTTGTTCAATTTCCCCGCGCCTCATGATGATTTGTTCTGATGTATGCAAAGCCCACCGCCCTCTCCAAAAAGTGTACTTAAGCTCTGCTTGACCTTTGCTCTGGGCTCTGGGCTGCTCTCCCTTCTTGAGTAAGCACGGAGCCCCAGCGCGCTGGAATGGATCCCCAATAAATCCTCTTTTGCCAATTGCATGGAGTAAGTCTCGTGTGTGGTCTCCCCCTCCGCCGCTCCGCTGGACCCCCCTTACAGTCATTATAGTTGTATATAATGGGGTGGGACTTGTTGTTACACATTCACATATGCACACAGTATGATAACATAACTTGGCCAATATCTTTCCCCAGTATTTTCCCTTTCCTTTCCCTCCTCCCTCCCTCCCCCTGGTCCCTTTCTTCCACTTTACTGGTCTCTCTTTGATTTTCATGAGATTCCCCCAATCTTTCTTTTCCTTTTTCCTCTTAAGCTTCCACAGATGAGAGAAAACATGACTCTTGACTTTCTGAGTTTGGCTTATTTCATTTAACATATGTTCTCAAGTTTTATAAAAATTGTGACAACTCTTGTGAAGGATATGAGTGAAAATTGGTTTCACAGAAAATTTCCACATAGTTGGAATAGTACACTTTTGGATTGGGGTATAAATATATACATGTATGGGCTATTATATGGTAGGATAAAGAAAACATCAAAGATGGGTAAAGCATATTAAAACATATATTATATGGTAGGATAAAGAAAACATCAAAGATGGGTAAAGCATATTAAAGACAAATTAGAAGCCAGGCAGGGTGGCGCATGCCTGTAATCCCAGTAGTCCAGGAGGTTTAGGCAGGAGGAGATTGAAAGTTCAAAGCCAGCTTCAGCAAAAACAAGGTGCTAAGCAACACAGTGAGACCCTGACTCTAAATAAAATACAAAATAGGGCTGGGGATGTGGCTCAGTGGTCCAGTGCCCCAGAGTTCAATCCCTGGTTTAAAAAAAAGAACGACACGTGTCACATGGAGCATCCTAATACAGGGCCTGGAACCATTTACTCCCTTTCTGTCTCGACCCCTTGCCCTCAAGGAAGACGCAACTCGGGAATCTTCTTTCAGCGGTTTATTCAGTCCCTTGATATTTCTTCTACTGATCCCTCGGATGCCCCTCCCAGCCTTAATATAGCATCTCAAGCCCCAATGCGAAGCTGCCACGTGGAACTTTCTCATAGGGTGCTAAAAAACCATGCGCCAACTCTCCCAAATAAGGAGTTGTTTGTCACATACCACAGCGGAGCCAGCGCCATCTTGTAATGGCGACCATAGTCTGCATAAGTGGCAGAAACGGCTCACCACACCTTTCCTACTTCCCCTCCCTCAAGGCTTTGTGAATAGCCATCAGGCAAACAGAAGTTCTTGGTTCTGAATTTAAAATACTTCTGTTTTTTAGAATAACAGAATAACTGTTTTTTACTGATGACATACTGTATGCCAGGCAATATGTTCAAAGCTTTAAATGCATGATTTTGTTTTACTCTCATTACAACTCAACGAAGATGATATTGTACTATTATTCTTTTATTTATGGGTGAAGTAATTACATCATAAGTTGTTAGGAGACTTTATCAAGGTCACACAGTCAGAAAGTAGAAGAACTGAAATTTAAATATAAACCTATCTGACTCCACAGTTAGACACTAGCTCTTGACACTACATTCTATACTGCCCCTAAATTTGATCTGCTCTATGGTTTTGCTATGGCTTATCCTTTTTTGCTGATAGTAATGCTATCATTCAAAATACATTCACTATTGGCCAAATTATATTGTTGTATTTTTTTTGATAGAAAGAGAGAGAGAGAGAGAGAGAGAGAGAGAGAGAGAGAATTTTAATATTTATTCTTCCAGTTCTTCAGCGGACACAACATCTTTGTTTGTATGTGGTGCTGAGGATGGAACCTGGGCCGCACACATGCCAGGCGAGCGCGATACTGCTTGAGCCACATCCCCAGCCCATATATTGTTGTATTTATTTTGTGTGTATGTATGAATATGTAACAACAAATCCCACTATTATATGTAATTATAGTGTACCAATAAAAATATGGGAAAAAACAAAAATTTATTGTACTTACCAAACAAAATGCATTTACTGAGCATCTGTTAAAGGGGTGAAAAATAGTATCAACTGGAGTGAAAGAGCAAGAGTAGGAAAGCAGATGGCAGTAGAGGGGGAGTTCAGCTGTGAATTAGAGGCTTTGTGGTCCCTTATACTATTTATTCAATGAATATTATGAGTATAAAGCTTTGTTCTAAATATTGGGTCAAAGGTATTTGGTTAGGAGGCAGGAAGAAGAGACTGGTATTGACTTTCATCATTTTAAGATGTATATAGTTTCACAGACCAATGTTTCTGAATTATATAGTTTATAATCATTACTAGTTTAAATGATAGCATTTTCAAAAAATATGTCTTTAGTTGTTGATGGACCTTTATTTTATTCATTTATTTATATGTGGTGCTGAGAATTAAACCCAGTGCTTTACACATAATAAGCAAGTGCTCTACCACTGAGCCACAACCCCAGTCCCAAATGAGAGCATTTTTGTTGTTGTTGTTGTTCTAAGTGGTACATAAAATATTAGTGCTGATCCTTACAATTGACAGGACCTTAGATTCAATAAATATTAACCTGATTTTTGGTCTGCCAAACAAGATTCTTATTTACAAGATGCTTCATATACATGATCCTACAATATACAGGGTTTCTTCCTGTGTTTGTAACCTTATATTTCATCAGCTTACCTTCCTTCTCTTGGCTTTAAATATGTTTTTTATTCAAGTATGGTTGTCTATTTTCCTTTTCTGCTAGCTTCCTCATTCTTCAGCAAATGAAAAGTTGTCATCTCTCCCTCTTTAGTACCAGTTTCTTTCCAGGGTTCTGATTCATAACTGGCACCTGAGTATTACTAATTTGTTGTTCTGATGTCACCTTGAACTCAATACAATGCACCATCTCCTTGAACTCAATACAATGCACCATCTTTTCCTCCAACCAGCTAAGTCGTCTCCAGGCTACCCAAGATCTATCAGTTCTAGTAATTCATACTTGAAGACTTGGGAGCCATCTTTAATTTTTCCCTCTCCTTTGTTTCTTTTCTACATATTTAGTATGTTACTAAGACCTGTATATTTTCCCTCTTGCCTTGATCCCTTCCTCTCCAGTTCTACTATTATCATCTCTATCCAGATCCTTGTCTAACCATGCATGCACTACTATAATAATTTTCTACCTCTCCCTCTGATTCATCTGATCCATTATCACCACTTCATATTTCTCCTAATACTGTATTACACATTTAACTCTGCTAAAAGTCATTTAATGGCCCCTTACTGATAAGAGAATAAATTCCAAACACCACAGCTTGGTGTTCAAGATTCTCCAGTCATCCCTCTCCTTCAGTTCCCACCATGTATCCTTGAGAAAATGTTCTGTACTTTTCAACTGCCACAAATTTGGCTTGTCCATTTCCTTTGTCTAGATTTTGACTTCCATTCTCTTCTCTTGTCTGATCTAAGCCCAGGTTTTTCTTCAATGCCTAGCTGACTCTTCCAGGAAAAGCATTTCCTGATAGTTTGTAGTTTACAACCAGCCCAATGCTCGTTGTAAACTCTTACAATGCTTAGTGTATGCACCAATGATGTGACATTCAATATGTGTGCTTCTTCCTTTTATGCATGAAAAAGCCTTTTCAAAGATAATTAAATTCCTGGAGAGCAAAAACTTGGCCAAATTCTTCATATTTACAGGCTGATGGCCATTTATCTGTAATGGAATAAGTTTTAGACCTGGGAGTTCATCTAGCCCTACTGATTCATTTCACAGATGGAGAAACTGAGGTCCACAGAGTGTACAGACCCACTTAGTAGAAAGCCATAGCAATATACAAATATATGCTGATACTTGGCTTCTACAGAATGGTTATACAGGTTGGCTTCTACAGAATGGCAGGATTCAGAAGAGGGAAATGAGTGTGTTATTTGAAGGATGGAGAAGAATGTGGTTATTTTGGGCAAAAGTGGGAATAGGTAATTCAAACTGCCTGATGGGATACGCATAGTGGCTACTGGCAGATCTGTTTTTATGCACGACCCACACGCTCTGGAAAATGGACGTTCAATCATATTTCTTACATGAATTGACTTCCCAGCCTTGCTATGGATTATTCGTCTTCGCATCCTTGAAGAAAGTGACGGAAATTGGCTGTGCGGCTCCTCCAGAGCTCAGGCCCAAAGGAAGATTTGCTGCCCGATACTTGAGCACCAGCTAAGGGCTCTCCACTCTCCGACGTGAGCCAGGACCCGCCCTTGATAGGAATTCGTGGGCTAAGCAGCCGCTCAGGCCTTGGCCATGATCCCAGGAAAGAAGAGCAAGGGGCTTTCCACCTGCCCCTGGCCTAACCCGGGTGGCCAGCCCTCCCGGGTTCCAGCGTCAGGTGCCCGGCTTCCCACGCGGGCCGCGTCCTCCTGGCACTCAGAGTACAGTCCCGCCCCGCCCCGCCCCTACGCTCGACGGGCTCGCTCCCGCACCGGGGGCGCGCGGGGGGCGCGCGGGCTCGCGGAGGTAGAGGTTGGGGGCGAGCGCGCAGGCGCTTTCCGGAGGCCCCCTGCGGGCGCGAATCCCAGCGTCCGGCCGCCGCTGGTAAGAGCGCGATTCCGGGGTGCTGGACCCCGAGCCAGCGTGGGTGGCTGTCGGGCATTCGCGTCGCGCCAACAGCCGGGGCGGAGCTGGTGACTCGGCTGTCATCTCCAATCCACTCCCAGGGACGCGCGCGAGGCCTCTCCAGCCCAGCTTGCCCGGTCGCTCGGGGGTCGGGTGAGGAGAGGTGGTGATGGTGGTGCCACGACCTGGCCGTAGCTATCCTGGCGATCTTGTTCCTGCTGTCTGGAGGGTCTAGCCTGCTGCAGGAAGGGAGGAGAAATGTCCTGAGGGGTCGCAGCTGCCAGATGTGCTCACCTGGGGTAGCTGCATTTCCTGGAAGCTGTGGCCTCGGCGGTGGTGGCCTGGGCGGGGAGTCTTCCACACCGAAGAGAACGCGTTCAGCTCTGGATGTGGGAGGCGCCCTTGTCGGGATGCACTCCCAGGGCAAAGCGGGACGGGAACCTCCTTTGCCGCCTACATGGCAACTTTGTGGTGTGTGGATGGCTTAGAAAGTCACTGTACTTTCCTTTACAGGTTGGAAAAGTTAATGTAAAAAGAAACCTTTTTACATTTAAGGGGAAGAGAGCAGTTAAGTCTGAGTATCTTTACACAAGGACTTAGTAAAATTAGATATAAAATTAGATACTTTTACTCCGTGTTTTTGGTTCTCCCCTCCCCCTCCAGTCTTCTCCATTCAGTAAATACTTCGCGGTTTCCTGCTTTCTGCCCACATTGTTTTAAATGCGGGGCAACAGCAACCTTAAAGACTAAGAGGATCCCTGCTCACATGCTGCTTACATTCTAGTTGATAAGTAAATGCCACTTCCTTTAATACTTTTTTTTAATTGGAATATAATGTACATACAGAACAACACTGGACACAAATTATAAGTTGTTATTTGTTGGCTTATTACAAAGTAAAAACATCTTTTTAAAAAATATATTTTTAGTTGTAGACGGGACACAATACCTTTATTTTGTTTATTTTTATGTGGTGCGGGGGATCGAATCCAGTGCCTCACGCAAGCGCTCAACCACTGAGCGAGGACAACCCCGTCCCAGTAAAAACGTCTTTTAACCGTCACTCAACTCATCACTCAACTCAAGAAGCAGATCTCCCAGGAAACACAAGATCTCCCAGGAAATCCCTGCCATTTACCATCCCTTCTTTCCTTCCCATTGGTGTCCTCTTTCTTGATTTCTAACACCATAGATCAGTTCTGCCTGTATAGGAGTCTTTAGCAAGTTGAACCATATGATATGTATTTAGTGTCCAGCTTCTTTTACTCAAAATTTTGTGTATGTGATTTTTTAATATTGTTTGAAAATACAGCTTCTGATGGTGAAAGAAATTGTGAAGAAAATTAAAGAAGGTAGTGGTACAGTCATTAAGAGGAGAAAATTTTAGTAGGGTGGGGAGAGAGTGATCTTTTCTAAGGGATGACTTGAAGTATAACATGAATGACAAAAGATTATCCAGGGAGTTGAATTGAGAGAATTCCTAGTGCAGGGACAGAGGGAGGCTTGCATGAACTCAACAGGTTCTAGGATGGGAGGAAAGACCTTGTGGCAAAGTGCAAGGAGATGAAATTGGAGAGGCAGGCAGGGGTCATATTTTAGAGGGTCTTATGGCTGGATATTGGATTTTAAGTGTAGTAGATATAAGAAAGATTTTTTTTTTTTTTGGTTCCAGGGATTGAACTCAGGTGCTTAACACACTGAGCCACATCCCCAGTCTTTTTTTTTTTTAAATTAGATAGTCACTAGGTTGCTGAGGGCCTTTTAATTTGCTGAGGCTGGCCTCAAACTTACCATCTTCCTGCCTCAGCTTCCCAAATGCTGGGATTATAGGTGAGTACCATCATGCCTTGTGAAAGGAAAATGTCAGTTTGCTTTTTACTTTTTGTTTTCATTTCTGGGGATTACTCAGGGCCTGTGTCTGCTAGGCTGGTGTACTCTACTGAACTTTATCCCCAGTCTTAATTTTACTTTTCAGTGCCTAGCCTAAAGGGAGGGAGTGATGGAGAAACATGTGTTTAATTGAATTTATTGCTTTTATATTTTCTCTTAAGATTTGGGCTATTATTGATTTCTTTGCAAAGTTTCATTTCTCTAAGATGAAAATTTGGTGTGATTAGTGTACATATATTTTTGAAGAAAATATTAAAAACTAAACTTCAGAAATTACTTTATGGAAGACTTCCAAAGTAAATACAAAGACAAAATTCCTCGTTTTTTTCTGTACCAAAGATAAAACATTCTGTCTTTGTGGTCTTAAATTCACACATAGGTAAACATGCTTTAGATAGAACTGACTCTGCCACTATCTATGTCTCTTGTCATTTTCCTTCTCAGAAATGTTCCTTTGTAAGAACAAACCTCTACTATATCTTCAGACACATTTTACAGGGAGAGAGCTACCTTTTGAGGTACACTTCCTAATTACAGGACTAACGAAGAAGGAATAGCAAACTACTTCCTTCCCTTTGTACCTAGTCTAGCCCTCTCCCCTGGATTCTCCATATTTCTAGTTGGTTTAATAGGTTCTTTGTTAAGGTACTGTTCTAAGCTAAAGCTCTTTTTTCCCTCCTCTCCCACAGGCTACTTCACAGACATTATCAGTTTCTGACTGTTTGGAAGTGAAGCACCACTTAAAATCGCTCCAACTCCTGATTCCAAAGAAGTGGTAACTTTTTTCTGATCAAGAAAATAAGTGACTGACTCTGTATTATAAATATTCTGGAACTGGTTCTGTTTTCCTCCCTGAATTTGGAGAACTATGGAACAGTGGTCCTGGATGACAGTAGTAGTCTTAATAGGACTAACAGTACGATGGACAGTTTCTCTTAATTCTTATTCAGGTAATACATTTTTACATTTTCAAAGATAGGTAAATATTCTTCTGAGTAGATTTTTTTGTTTTTGTTTTTATTTTTTTTGGTAAGTTTACTGAGAAGCTTTCTGAGAAGAATTTGAAGCTTTATTGGTGTGGACAATAAAATACATTTAAACATCTAATTATAATAAAAAGAAACTGTACAAGAGTTAAGTGCATTTTGTGTGTGTAGTTTGTAGTGTATAGTTAATATTCTGTATATATTCATAAACTCAATATTATTGTTTTGGTAGGTATACCAAGCCACATACCTAGCCCTGTTTCATGATTCTTTTTTTTTTTTTTTTTTAGAGAGAGTGAAAGGGGAGAGAGAGAGAATTTTAATATTTATTTTTTAGTTCTCAGCGGACACAACATCTTTGTTGGTATGTGGTGCTGAGGATCGAACCCGGGCCGCACGCATGCAAGGCGAGCGTGCTACCGCTTGAGCCACATCCCCAGCCCTGTTTCATGATTCTTAATCCTATAAATTAGACATTAGTGACTTGTTTTATACAATTAATATTTGTTCAGTTTTGCCCTCATGTGTATCATTTTCTGTTCCCCCTTTTTTCTTACCCTTTATGTCTTCCTAAGTACATCTTTGGGAGTTTTTTTTTCTTAAGTGAGTGTGTTTTGGGGACAAAGAGTTTCTGTCTGAAATCTCTATTTTGCTTTCAGTCTTAAAAGTTTTGCTGGGCATGGAATTGTGTCAGCAATTACTTTCTTTAGTGTTTTGAAAATCTTATTTAGACTCTGTTGTTGATGAAATTTTTGTTGTTGTTTCTAGACTCTGAAGACTTATGTTCAGTCATACGTTAAAATTTTATATGAATATTTATATGAATATATGAATTATATGAACCTTTATACATTTATTATATTACATTATTTATTTAATGTTATCTAGGATTTTTACTGAAGGTGCTTTCTGGACACTAGTCTGCTATGCTACTGGAAACAGAAGTCCCATCTGTATTATTTTTATTTTTATTTTGTAGTGTGGGGATTGAACCCAGGCCTTGCAAATGCTAGGCAAGTACTCCACCACTGAGCTATATGTCATCAGCCTTCTTTTCTATATTGAAAGTTCCTCAGCCAAGTTCCTATAGTGCAAGAAGAAAATAATTTAGCTATTTACCACCCCCAAATAGAAGGGGTAATGATTAAAAGAGGCGGAAAAGAAACTTTGAGGTAGAAGTAGAGCTTGTGAGGTTATTATTCTGGAAGCTGAGAGACCTAAGAATTTTAAGAAATAAGGACTAAGGACAGACTAACAGCGTCAAGCTGTGGACATGTCAAGTGGCGGGGGGCATTAAAACTAGACAAGGACCATGTGAGCCTCCTGGTTGCCAGACCGTAATGAATTGAGGACTGATGGTTGTTAAAAATGGAACATCGAAACTTTCAGAAAAGTTTGTTAGTGAATAGAATGAAGGAGGTCATTTGGTAGCTGAACTGGGAGAAGAAGGGCTAAGGAAAAGCCCAATTGATAATTGTTATATAAAATATGTAATTCTATTACTTTTGTTTTCACTCCATAATTGGCCTGTTGGAAAGTCATCCTGTTTTCTGACTCAGCACTGCATTATTCTTGAACATGATGATTCATTTTTAATCCTATGTCTCTCTTATGATTTTCCTTTCATCTTCTGATTTTGACATGTATCTTTAATTTTTTATTGTTCATTTTTCTTTTTTTAAATAAAAAATTTTTTTTGAGGTACCAGGGATTGAACTCAGGGGCACTTGACCACTGAGCCACATCCCCAGCCCTATTTTCTATTTTATTTAGAGACAAATTCTTACTGGATTGCTTGGCACCTCGCTAAATTGCTGACTCTGGCTTTGAACTTGTGATCCTCTTGTCTCAGCCTCCTCTCAGCTGCTGGTATTAAGGTGTGTGCCACTGTGCCTGGCATTAAATGAAAATTTTAACTGATAATTTGTTTGAAGTGTTTATATTGATGTGGAGTTAAATAGAATTAAAATTAGAGTATAGGAAAAAATAATACAAAATTTAAAATCACAGTATTTCATTGTTGCTGGTATGTATAATCAAATGCTCAATGGACATTTAGTAGAGGACAATATTCTGTTCCTGTGGCTTCCATATAATAATTAATCTCACATCTCTCTCACGAAGTCTTAAGTTTTATTCAGTTATACTTACCATCTGGAAAACAGGACCCTGCTGCTATTTTAAATTTGTTCTTAAATTGTACCTCAGAAAGTCAACAGAATGAGATCACATTTAGGTTACTGTTTAGGACAAGTGCTTTGTTGCACATTAGTGGAATATTTGTAGACAGCTCTTCTATATTTTTATCATTTTTCAGATAAGGAAGATAAAAAAATGCAGAACATTAAGATAAATGGTGTTCTGATCCAGTTCTCCAACCCCATTACAAAGAATATGACGTGTTCACCATTTGCATGTGAAAAACTGCTGTGCCATAGAAGCTGGGAGACTTAACACATAACAGCTGTGATGCTGCTGAGGGACCCCCCCCCCCACTTGTTAGTTAAAATACTTTCCTGTTATAATTATTTTTTAGTTTCCATTTGTTTCACATTTTTTTAAGGTTCTAATTAGGAAGCACTAGTGTAAGAGAAAAGTATCATTCCTTTTTACCATTCTAGGTTTTCTGTTGGGGTCCCCAAAAAAGACAGATTAGCAAGAAAAAAACATACAGATTTATTCAGTAGGACAGACCAACAGCAACATGGGAGCCTTCACTAGGAAATGAAGACCTGAAGAAACAATTAAACCTGAGCATTTTTGTACTAGGTTGGATGAAGAACAGAAACATGATAGGACAAAAGGAATATGAGCTCAGAGTGGTAAACTGGGAGAAACTTGGCAAAGCTGATCATTTGGTTCCTGGTTGTTCTTCCATCTTTGGAGACAAGGATGCCCCTTTCCTCTGGTTATAGGAGGACATTTGCCACATCAGGGTTTTATGGCCTGCTTCAGGGGAAGGTCAGAGAGTCCTTCTTGCACCTTCTATTTCTCAAATTCCTTCAACTTAAAATATGCAGAATGCCAAGGTGCCATATTTTGGATAGCACATTCAGAACCCCGTCATACTCAAGTGAGAAACTCTGGTTAGCTTGCTTACTGTGAATGCATCCTTCTTCCTTTGGAAACATGCATATAATTTATGCAAACTACAAATATATATTAATTTAATGTTTTCTAAAATGCATACCTCTTATGTTATTGGAGTTGATTATGTAATTTTCACACACCTGAAATATTGAATAAATATTGCTTGTTACTTTTAAATAATCTATGGGGAGTAGACAAATTCTGATTTTAATATTAAGTATTATAGTTCATAGAAATTTCATAATTGTTCTATACTTGATTTAAAGTGTTACCATTGTCTTTAGAGAAAATAACACTTGAACTGAAAAGGAAGGGTTATCTTATTTTAATAATCTTTTTATTCCAAAGTTGTATTGACTGCTTAGGAGAAGAAAGTCATACAGAATCAATCATTGTTGAAGTGTGACTGTGTTCTATTCAACTGGTCAGTTTCTTTGAACTTAACACTTAATCACGGCTATTTATAAGGACTCACAGGACTCAACTGAGTTACATATAAATGGGATTTTATTACCGAAAAATTTTAGCCAAATCTCCTTTTCTTAGAATGTAAAAAATTTCAATGTAAAGTATGTGTTAACAAAGAAACTACCTGTGCTGTAGATTCAAACATAATTCTGAATAGTTCTACAATTAATAAAATGAACATTTAAGTGATACTTTAAGCCAATTTTCCTGTGAATGAGACAAAATTGAAGTTCTGTACATATATATCAGTGTGTTTTCTTAGGTAATTCTTAATCTTATGTAAATGAATTTGTAGGATTAATCACTGTGGAAGGAATCCTTTTTGCCCTTCCCAAGTGCAGCTCCCATAGGTACAGTTGGGTTGTCCTTCTAGGTTGCTTTAAGGGCACTTTAGCAGTTTTAAAAACTTAAGTACTAATTTCATAGCCAGTGTCAGCTGGATTTATTGAAGTAGGTCAGACTCTGGATAAAAACTTGTTTCCCAACCCTAAAGAGAGTCATTATCCATTCTTCTATTTGTGAGAGATTGGTAATAAATTCTTCCACATTGACCACAAGTCTAGAGCAATTTCAGAAAATCTAGATAGTTGGATTTTTTGAGGTATAGGAAATTACTTAAAATCCTCTCTTGACTTTTATTATCCCAGTGGCCAAACCCAAACAAAACAAAACAAAAAAATAAAAACCCCACTCTCTTCCTTCTCCAAAATAAGCCATATTTGTTGGTTATATTCATTGAAATAGAAACACTTGCCTATAAAAATGTACATGTAGGGGCTGGGGTGGTGGCTCAGTGGTAGAGCGCTTGCCTAGCATGCAAGAGGCACTGGGTTTAATTCTTAGCACCACATATAAATAATAAAATAAAGGTCCATTGACAACTAAGAAAAAAAAAAGTACATGTAAATAATGCAGTTAATTAATTGGGGGAATTCTTTTCCTTTGTGTCTTGTGTCGTGTCCCCCCCCCCCCCCCTGCTGGGGATTGAAGGCAGGGCCTTACACATAGGAGGCAAGAGCTCGACCACTGAGGTACATACCCAGCCCTTTTTGAATTATATTTTGAGGCAGAACTCATTAGATTGCCCAGGCTGGCCTGGGACCTGTGATCCTTTTGCTTCAACCTCCTGAGTAGCTTGGGTTATACGCATGTGCCACCATACCCAGCTTTTTCTTTTTTAAAAAAATTTGTTTTATGTTATTCTCTCTTTGTTCAGTTGAATAAAGCAAGTTTCTAATGTATCTCTAGCAATCTGCTTCCTATGAACTCTATAAAGTAAATTTCTCTATGGGAACTAAAATTCTTATTTGGATAGTGATTAGGAAATGGTGTTAGTCATGATGAAACGTGATACTGAAAGGATAAGTACTAAGATGAAGTCAATAATTAATGACCAATATGTTTTTAATTTATGAGAGAAGCTTCATAGAGGATTTAGGATTCAAGGTGATTCTTTTCTTTCTTTCTTCCTTTCCTTTCTCCTCCCAGTGCTAGGGACTGACCCTGGGGTCTCATACCTGCAAGGCAAGCCCTCTGCCCCTGAGCTACACTTTCAGCCCCTTGAGGTGGTTCTTGAAGGTTGGATATGAATTGATAGAAGAGGTAAATGGAAAAAGGTATAAGCAGCATGAACAGAGAGAGGCTTAGACTTTCAAAGGGCCAGGCAGTAATTTAAAGATGTTTTGGGGCAAGAACCAATATTTGAGCATTGTGTTCAAGCACCCTTGGCATAATTAATTGATTTGCCATCACAAATTAACATTGCACATCTAGCAAGTATAAAATCAAATTCAAGTCTCATGAACTCAAAATCCTGGCTATGTCACACTAATTATACCAGCTTGCTTGCCATTAGCATTCATGAAGAATCTGTTAGGTGCCACTGGTAGAGTCTAGTAGGTGTTATATCTCAAGGCTACAAATGAATAAGATATGGTTCATCCTGAACGAGTGGGGTGTGTGTGTGTGTGTGTGTGTGTGTGTGTGTGTGTGTATGGGTATGGGTATACATGGGTGGGTGATTTCTTGTGTCAGTTGAATGATTGAGTCAATGTGTATATGCTATAGAGTTGTTAATCTATTTTTCCCTTAATTATTTCACAGTGAGACTATCTCTCTGGATGTAGATTCTAACATTTAAAGAATATTGGTATAATAACAAACATTTAATGAAGTTACAAAGCTGGAGAAAATCTGAGTTGGATTTTAGTGGGCAGTGGTATGTCCTTATTCAGCTGATTAATGAGTACATTTGACTGTATGTGTCTTCCACCTTACTTGCTGTCTTAAAAACCTGTGAATCTATTGTACCTCTTGGAGCTTTCTCAGTTTTGTAGTCAGCTGCTAGTTAAAGAGTGAGTGGGTGTTTACCGTTTACTAAAAGAAAATGCCTTTGTGTCACTTAAGGGTAATAACCTACTTAAACAAGTTGTGAGGCATTACAGAGTAGGAGGTAATAACATGGGCTATGGAGCCTTTCAGGCTGGGTTCAAATCCAGACACTGCTTCTTACTGAGTGACCATTGCCTCTATTTTTCTAGCTTTAAAATGGGGATGATAATAATTATAATACTTACTGGGATGGAGGTATAGCTCAGAGGTACATTGCTTGCCTAGCATGTGATTCCCAGCCCTGCAAAACAAAACAAAAATGTCTAGCATTATCAAATGTTAGTTATTAAAGGTTCATTATCCCTTATTTACAATTATGAGGAAAAAGTTATAAACTGAAAGTTTTTACATAACTCATTTGGTAGGAAAGCCTACCAAAGTGACTAATTTTTTTCATATATACTCTATTTTTAGTTCTATACTTGACCTTTAATTATTTATAGTTTGTACAAAAACATAAAACATAGATGTTTGTTATTATAATTTTTTTAAAAATTGTTGACGGACCTTTATTTTATTCATTTATTTGTATGTGGTACTGAGAATCGAACCCAGTGCCTCACACAGGCAAGGCAACCGCTCTACCACTGAGCCACAACCCCAGCCCTGTTATTATAATTTTTATGATACTCATTGGACAGTATACTTGACATTCTTTCTCATGAAGTAAAAATAAACTTGGCTACCTTATTTTTAATTGAGTAATATTAACAGTAGCTTATACTGATTGACTGTTTCCTGTGTGCCAGGCACTGTTGGGTAGTTTAGGTCTGCTATCTTACTTGTTCTAGTACTCCCCGAGGCAGGCAGTGTTGATCCTGTTTTGGACGTGTACAAGCTTAGGGAGGCTGAATCACTGGGTATGTTAGCATGCCAGGATTCAGACCTTATCTCTCTTGACTTTTTCTTTTTTTTTAATTCCTGAGTTCTTTCCCAAACTTACACTCCCTCTGTAATTTAGAAAATCTTTCAAAGGAAAAAACAATCACTGATATACTAAAGTAGATTGTTGTTTTCTCTTTTTACCTTTCATCTTAGGTGCTGGAAAACCCCCTATGTTTGGTGATTATGAAGCTCAGAGACACTGGCAAGAAATTACTTTTAATTTACCGATCAAACAATGGTATGGATAATTTTAATTTGATTTTGTTATTTTAATCATGTGACAGAGTTTTTAAAGATATTTAAAAGGAAAACACTGTTTTCTTTATCTTGAGCATCATCATCTCCTGCATACTGATGGTGTTTTTGTCTCATATATTGCCTTTTGTGTTGTAGTCCCATCTCTGAAACTATGTAGTCCTCATAGTTAGCCATATGTATATTTAGTCAGTGGGATATGCTACTGAGCCAGAACTGTGATGGTAGAATACTATGTCTCAGAAAATCTTCTGGACATAAATTACAGAAATACTCATGTCCTGTTCCTTCATCTGCTACTGTTCTTACTAAATATCACTTTGATTTAAGTTATAGGTAAAAACAGAATGTCTTGGTAATAGCAGATGGCTAAATTTGTGAAGCTGAAAAGGGGACAAAGGGAAGAAACCTATTGTAATAAGACTTGTTTTCAACTCTGAAAAATTTACGTGTGTCCCTTTGGTTCGTCTTTGAATACCTTGCATCTAGTATAGGCTGTGGTACTTTGCAGCTGTTCAGTAAATATTTGTTGAAGAAATAAGTGTTTGTATGTTCTTTTTCACGTGGTTCCATTTTTGTAGCTTTCTCTGGTGTTATGAAGGAGGATGTCAGCTCTATCCTTCATGGGTTTCATGGTATAGTATATATGTATATACAGCACTCAGAGAATATTACAGAAATTTTTTTAGTTTTTGTTATTCTCAATCACTGGAACCATGGTGATCAACCTTAACTTTATGTACAAGTCTATCTGGAAGTTCAGTGTGTCTGCTGGCAATGTTAGAGGTGTACAGGAGCCCTGAGAAGTATAGATGCTGGAGTCAGACTGCCTGGGTTCAGACCCTGGCTTTTCTGTTTATCTGCTCTGTGACCTTTGACAAATTATTTAATCTTCTCTTTCATTTTTCACTTGTAGAATGGAAATAATAGACTGCATAGTTCATTGGATTTTTGTGGGAATTGAATAAAATAATCCATGTAAAGAACTGAGACCAGTACCTGACGTGTAATGTCCTTTCAATATGTTGGTTGCCCTTATGGCTTCATAAAAATTTGTACCATGTCATTTTTATTGAACATATTTCAGTAACAATTGATGTTATTACTTATTGATTTACTGGATAGCTTGTTTGTTAAAATCTTCATAACATTCTTTCTGTTGACTCCTTTGGTCACTGCTTTTATCTGATTCCTTTACCAGAGACTTGTATGCAACACAGTTGAACTTTCTATTAATAGTCTGGCTATACGCTAGTCAGATTTTGGAGTATTGCAAACAGGCCAGCTAAATTATTTGGCATTATTGTTAATTGTTTTATTTTGAGCATCTTTCAGATCTTGACATTTAATTAACAAGTGTCATTGTTTAGATTACTGGTGATTCTTAATGCTGCTTTCTTGCTTGATTGGTAGAATGAGGTAATATTTACTGACAATCAGAGCCCTGCTTTTGAACTGTGTAATTGTTTTGTAAATTTTACATGGATAATTTTATTCTTGGCTATTCTTTGATAAGTAGTTCTCAAAGATTTTGTTATGAAATTCAATGTAATATGTAGTATTGAAAGATTAGAGAAAAGGGAAAATTTTCAGCTTTCAGCATAATGTTAGGGGGAAACATTGATATCAGGAGTGAAAATATAATCTTAACCATCATGTAGGGTAGATGGATCATTCTAATGCCGATCTACCTCAGTTTTTCAAACAGTGGTATTCTACTTTGGATAACATAATTAAGAGTTGAAAATATGTACAATAGTCATCGATCATCCATGGAGGATACTTCAGAGACCCTCAGTGTATGTCTGAAACCACAAATATTACTGAACCCTTTTATATACTTTGTTTTTTCCCTGTATACACATTTATTCGTATTCAGTTGCTATAATGATATGTTGGAGGCTTGATACTTTATAAGGAAAAGAAGCTTGTTTAGCTCACAGTTCTGAAGGCCCAAGAGCAGAAGGCTGGTATCTGCTCAGCTCAGGTGAGGGTTTCATGGTAGATGGTATCACAGTGGTGGGAACATGTGCAGAAGTGATCACAGTAAGCCACATCAGACAGTATGCCGGAGAGAGACTCGGGTCAGGCTTACTCTTTTATAACAACTCACTTTCATGAGAATAACCAACACAGTATGACATATCATTATCAATCCCTTCTGAGGGCAGTGTCCTTGGTGACCTGGTTACCTCCCACTAAAAGATCACTATTTAATACTGCCACAATGAGGACCAAGCTTTCTGCACATGAAACTTGTGGACAAACCACATCTAAACCATAGCAACATACGTATTATACTAGTATAGATTAGGAACAGTAAGAAAGTATCATTAGCTACTAATGAAATGGAACAATTATAATAATATTCTGAATAAAATTGCCAGCATCACTATTCTTTTGCTTTAGAGCCATTATTAAGTAAAATAAGGGTTACCTGAATACAAGCATTATAGTACTATGACAGTTGATCTGCTAATCAAGATGGCTACTGATTGATAGGTAGGTAACTTATACCATGTAAATGTATGCTGGACAAAGGGTTGATTCATCTTTTGGACAGACTAGTGTGGGAAGATGTGATATTTTATTATATTTTTCAGAATGGCATGCACTTCAGAACTTGGGAATTATTTATTTCTGAAATTTTCCACTTAATACTTTTGGGCCACAATTGACTGAGGATAACTGAAACCATAGAAAGCAAAACTGAAGATAAGGGGGGATTATTGCATACATTTTCATTATTAAAATATAAGAAATGTATAATTCACAGCATACTTACATGATCAGGTTTTGATTATGGTCTGGGAGTCTTTGAAAAATTATGAGGGCTAGGGATTTAGTTCAGTGATAGAGCACTTGCCTAGCATGCACAAGGCTCTGGGTTTGATCCCTAGCGTATCACAACAAAACACGAAAAGCCTAAAATAACCTAGGAGCTAAATTTCATGGTGAAGTGAGTGTTTTTGAAGTATTTAATAGAAAATAAGAATATGTTGACTACTTGGGAGGCTAAGGCAGGAGGATGGCTTGAACCCAGGAGTTCAGGCCAGCCTGGGCAAACACAAGGAGATCCTGTCTCAAAAAGAAGAAAATGTGAGCTTAATCAATAATACAATTATCTGAAGGACTTCGCAGGGCTGATAAAAGTGGCTTAATGATGGTAATCAAAGATTCAGGTTTTTCCTTTTATCTTCTTTGCCATTCTTCTATACTGGCTTTTTATTCTGAGGCCTTTTACCTTATAGTCATTAGATGACTCTCTGGGCTTCAAGCATTGTGATTTTATAAAGTCATGTTAAAAGCCAGAATAATAGTAATAGCTTTCTTCTTTCTACCTCTTTTTGTCAAGGGGCAAAATCTTTCCCACCTTTGAAAAATAATCAATAGCAAAAAGAACTGCCTGGTTCAATGCAGGCGTGGTGTCATACCTGGGACTGGCAGGTATGAGCTGAGCTTGTCACTTTCTAAACAAAACTATTGTTTTATAAATCAGGAGGGTTGGTGGGAATGGTGGTTTATAACAGTGAGGAAGCTGAAAGATTCTCAATGTCTCTTGGTAGAGAAATGATTAGAATAACGTGTACTTCCCTTGTGCATGTGTTTTTTCTAGGTAAGACTCCTGGAAGTGGAATCTCTATTGTAGACAGTTTCAGTGGGTACTAACACCAGTGTCTCCACATACTATACCAACCCTTAATCATACTATACTTAAAATTTGTATTTCCTTGAGTACTTATGACATTGAGCATCCTGAAATAAATTCATTGATCATATTTCCTCTCAAAATTGCTTGTTCATATCTTTTCCTTATATCTCTAGTGGATTAATTATCTTGTTTTTTTGCTAATGATTTTTTAAAATAAACAGTTATTTAAATTTTTAATACTGTATAACTAATGACCACAAATAGGAATTACTTAAACATACATTTATTGTCACAAAAATTTTGTAATGTCAGAAGTCTGGCCATAACTTATTGTGATAATTCTGCTCAGGGCCTCAGAAGGTTTTAGTCCAGGTTTCCATTGAGCTCAAGATGTATTAGAGGATTCACTGGGGAAAGATGCACTCCCATGTTCCCTCGGGTTGTTGGCAGAATTAACTTCTGCAAACCCAAGGGCTTCAGTTTCTGATTGGAAGCCACCCTTAGCTTCTGGAATCCACTTGCAATTTCTTGCCACGTGCCTTCTCCAATATGCTGCTTACTAAATCGTGGCAGCTTGCTTCTTCAAAGTCAGTGTGAGAGGGTCTGTCTAGCGTATCTGCTAGCAAGATAGAATTTTACATAGACATAAACACAAAAGTGACATTCTGTCCCATTTGCCATATTCTCTATGGGTTAGAAGCAAGTCACAGTTCTTGCCCACACTCAAGGGGAGGGGATCAACACATTCAAGGGTTTAACATTAGAAAATGGGGCTCAAGGGGATGCCTTAAAGTCTGTCTGCTACCATAGTGTTCTGCAGTTTAATCTTTTTTTCCTATGTGTGTATGAGTGTATAGAATAAAAATCTTCCTATCTGCTCTTTTAATTTTTCTTGTGGTTTCTTTTGTTGTGTAAAATTAATTTTTAAAATTTTCCATGTATAGAAATTCTTTGAGCAATTCTTAAAACTTTCCTGAAACTGAAACTTTCAAATTAAGATTTTTTTTGAAGCAAAAATATTCATAATGACTCTGGGTTGTTAGGAAAAATTACATCTTGAAGTTAATGATAGCATTTCTTTTTTTCACCACTGAGCTGTCTCCAGCCCTTTTCTTTTCTTTTTTTTTTTTTTTTGTTTCTTCTTTTTAACATTTTAGACAGGGTCTCACCAAGTTGTGGAGGCTGCTGGACTCAAACTTGTGATCCTCCTGCTTCAACCTCCTGAGTGTAGGGGTTAAAGGCATGTACCACTGCCCCCAGCTTACAATGAATGATAACACTCTTGAATGGAATTTTACAATTTTTTTTTTGTATTTAATACTGAAACATCCACTGAGATTATGTAGGAATTTAGTGGGGAATTCATTTCAGTGTTATAAATAGCATTATACAACTTTTCAGGTTTATCTGAAGTATGTAAAGCAGGAATATCAATTTATTGTTTTGTTTCTACTGGTAGATTTTAAAGTTTTACTTGAAATGCTTTTAAGCTATCTTCTTTGGTGCTTCTCTCTTATGTAGGAATGTCCACAAGAGTGGGAAACACAGTTTTTAGCCCTTTCATTCTTTTCTCCCAATCTAATCAGTGATTTTATTTACTGTATGTATGTTTACGTGCTTACAGCTTACTGTTAGGGCTGTACCTAATTTCCTTATCTCCAGTGAATCTCAAGGTTAAAGTAAATGAAAAATAGCTTTTGCCTTATAAGAGGCTGAAAACCAAATTATTGGTTGAAATGTAATTCTTGAATTTCTTGATGATTTCCCATTGCTCTATCTATACCAGTTTCATGGCTAATGGCCAGTTTTAACTATAATTAAGCCCATACTTTGCATCAGGCAGTGACATAACAGCTCCTATTTATTTATTTATATTTTTTATATTGATTTTTTTTAAAAATACATGACAGTGGAGTGCATTACAATTCTTATTACACATAGAGCACAATTTTTCATATATTTATATATAAAGTATGTTCATGCCATTTCAAGTCTTTATACATGTACTTTGTTTTTTTTTTTTTTTTTGCATTACAGTTCTTATTACACATATATACCACAATTTTTCATATCTCTGTTTGAATATAAAGTATGTTGGCACCCAATTTGAGTCTTCATACATGTACTTTGGATAATGATGTCCATCATATTCTACTGCCCTTGCTAATCCTCTACCTCCTCTCTTTTCCTCTCACCCCTCGTCCCTATCTAGAATTCATCTAATCCTCCCATGCCCCCCCCCTTCCTACTCCGCAAAAAAGTCAGCCTCCTTATATCAGAGAAAACATTCAGCATTTGTTTTTTTGAGATTGGCTAACTTCTCCAGTGCCATCCATTTACCTGCAAATGCCATGATTTTATTCTTTTAATGCTAAGTAAAATTCCATTGTGTATATATGCCACATTTTTTTTTTATCCATTCATCCACTGAAGGGCATCTAGGTTGGCTCCATAATTTACCTATTGTGAATTATTCTGCTATAAACCTTGATGTAGCTGTGTCCCTGCCGCAGTCTGGCTGGGCACAATTCACAAGCCACTTATCAAGCAGAAACAAACTTTATTTTTAGAAAAAACACACGTACCACACGAGCTCTTCAGGAATTCCCTCAGAGCCCAACTTCCACCACTGGCTTCCTACAAGCCTCTCAATCCCCCCACTCCTCCTGCTCTTGAGGCCGATTGGCTGGGTCGTGTGGGCGTAGCCAAAAGAGTCCCTCAATGAGCAGCTCCGAGGTCTGAAAGGGCAGGGAAACAGCCCAATGAGCATCACCGCAGAGGAACCAGTCAGCTGGCAGCTGGAAGTTTGTTGGGGCCGCTGTGAGCCAATCATCAGCTGGCAGCTGGAAGTTTGCTGGAGCCCCTTCGGCTGTGGCTCTCAGCAGTCCCTGTAGTATGCTGTTTTTAAGTCCTTTGGGTATAGTCCGAGGAGAAGGATAGCTGGGTCATATGGTGGTTCCATTCCAAGTTTTCCAAGGAATCTCCATACTGCTTTCCGTATTGGCTGCACCAATTTGCAGTCTCACCAGCAATGTATGAGTGTACCTTTTTCCCCACATCCTCGCCAACACTTATTGTTGTTTGTCTTCATAATAGCATAACAGCTCCTTAATTAACTCAATGCTTCAACAACTGTATGAGGCAGACATAATAAAACTATGCTAATGTGCCCCATAGTAACATGAATTTGGAAATAACACAGTTGACACCAGTCTTTAGGCATCCCTTTCTAGATAAGTGAGTCCTTTGTTTGCCAGGCCCAGTTTCCTAGATTCAAGCTTTCAAAAAGAATTCCAGCTAATCTGGAGATTCTGCAGGCAGGACAACTGCCACCAGCTGGTACCATAACATAGTATCCTATGCCCAGATCCCTGGGCCTTCTGTATGCCTTGATCATTTTATTAATCTATACCCCTTTCCGTACAGACAAGAAGAAGAACAGATTTCTGAATGTGAATAATAAATTATTTAATATGATCATGTTGAGTGCTAACATAAAACATTTTTTAAAATCCTGAAGTAAAAAACTGACATCAAGGAATTGCTACCCATTTGAAATAGGTTTATGAACAATGGTTACTTGTAGTTTTTAGAGTTTAATTTGCATTATTCTAAATTATTCCTATGACTAAGAAAACAAATTGGATAGAAGTTACTTAGTTATAAAGGATATGACTAAGAAATCTATTTATATAAATTTACTTTTTATTTTTTGAGTCAGAGTAGTTATATACAGTTCCTATACATTCTGGCCAACTGGAGGAGCCAAGGAATTTATAAACATTAGACCTAGAGTTCTTCATTAATTCACAGAATCTTGTATTCAGTAGATTCTTTTTACATGTCAATTGAAACAAAAGTCTTAGTTAAAGCCTACCTTTGCATAAACCAAATATTCATGTATTCTTTGAAATTGACTTTTTACTTTTTAAAATTGTGATCCTTAAAAATATTGTTTCCCTAATTTATTAGACTATCAGATGCAAATTCTTTTTTTCTTGCATTTTTTTTGGTATATTAGTCATTGATTAAATCTACTAGTAATAAGGTAACAATAAGTTTCAGTTTGCCTAAGATGGTCTTGGGTTGTATCTTTTGTCTAAATTATTTATAACTTAACTTATACTATTTAAATTATTAAGCTTAATTTTAATGAAACTGTATGAGATATTAAACTAAGTCTGTTTCTTGACTATTGATGAATGGAATGGTGCCTTTTTTCTTTTTCCCTAGGTATTTTAACAGCAGTGATAACAATTTACTGTATTGGGGATTGGATTACCCACCTCTCACAGCTTATCATAGTCTCTTGTGCGCATATGTGTAAGTTTTTCCTCTTTCACTCTGAATGTTTATGACTTTAGCAAATACTGTAAGAAACACTGTGGTCTGGCTTTACTGAAGAGAGGAGAAATCATTTGTAGCTACTACTGTATTATGTATTTACAAATGGGTTTTAAGAAAGGTAAATATCAGGGTTTGTCCATTTCTCTAATTTCTTTGGAGGATAGGCTAGGAAGAAATGCAAAATTTTATCTTTGTTTGGAAGTAAAGATGTTACCAATTATACATGGACTACTGAGAAATATCTAAAGTGGGTTAGTTGTGCACAGAAAAGGTGTGTGTCCCCCACCTGGAGATTGAGCCTAGGACTTGGGGTGTGCTAGGCAAGAGCTCTACCACTGAGGGATATCCCCAACCCCAGAAAAGCTTTTCTTGAATGGCCCAAAGTAATGAAAAATATAGGGCTATTCTTACTAATCTGTCAAGTTAGAAACTGGAATTACTGGAGTGTTTCACTTCTGACATGGAATTGGAATTCCTTTTAAAGAAATGGAGTAGTATATAGAAGATGAGGACTTGTATTTTGGTGGAGCCCAGTCCTACTCTGTAGTAGTATTTCACCTCAGCCTTGACGTCAGCAAAACTTTGAGGAACTTCTTCACAGTATCTCCTGAACTTCTTTTCCTTGTTTTATTATTTCAATCTTAATTATTTACTACTTTGTAAAAACTATGGGTTGAAAATAAGCTCATAAACTTGATAATTAATTATGCTTTTTCAGTGTTAGGGTAATATAATATGATTGAAAATTTCATTTATCTTCAATATTTGTGTTTAGTTTTATCATTGATTGACAATAATTGTTTATTATAGACAATTGTTATAACTGAAAAGATTATAAAGCACAAGTATATTGTTCTTTATCAAATATATGCTTAATATGTGGAATGACACATCAGCTTGGTTTTACGTTGGAACTGTGAAGGGAAAGCTTCCCGTTATACATTGTATGGTTTTGTTGCAAGATGATCGAGGCAGATGCTATTTTATAGCTTAAGTCAATTTCACATGATTAAATAAAAAGTAAAGCTTTAACATTGATGTTAGTGGACAGTTCTCAAAATAAATTCATATATCCTTAAAATAACTTCATGTGTTTTTATTGCTGCAAGTGAAAAAGAAGGTACATTTATATATGCTTTGATTTGTAGGGCAAAGCTTATAAATCCAGACTGGATTGCTCTCCATACATCACGTGGATATGAGAGTCAGGCACATAAGCTCTTCATGCGTACAACAGGTAAAAGAACAACAGATATTGGATATAAAATTTGATTTTTAAAAAACTGGGACAAACTGATAAAAAGTACTATTATTTTCTTAATGACTTTAAAATTGTATAATTATACATATACATATTGTATATGTGTCCATACATATAAATATAAATATATAATACACACACACACACACAAACACACACACACACACACACACATATATATACATACACAGACAGTATAAAACCAAGTTTATATCTAAGATAAGGAAAAGAGTAGAAAGGAATAATTCTGAGTAGTTTACATTTATTATTGCACTTAATTCTTTGAACTTCAAAGTGAGATAAATACTATTATTATCCTTATTTTAAGCAAAGGAAACTGAAGCATAGTTCAGTGAGGCAGATAAATAGCTGTAAATTGAAGCTTCTGTTATTTAGTCTGCTGCTTTAATATCCTAATTCCAAGACCCTCTCACCTTTTTTAAAGTAAATGTCTATCATTTATTGTATTTTTGAACACTGTTGCTAAATTAATCTATTCAACTAGTTTTATTGCTCTGTGTATGTTGTTCTAGAAGCTTGAAAGTAACAAGCTTAGATTTCTTTAAAAGCTTTATATGATGAAGATTTTAATGCTAGTCCTGCCCTTTTCCTTAATAAGTCTAAGATCAACATCTGTTATCTTTACTTTTCATGCAGTCATGGACTCTCGGGCCCATAATAATCTATCTTACTGTTTTTCCCTCCCACACCTCCCTCCTTTCCCCTCCAGTGCTTTAATCCTTTCTCAACTTGATGTTCACCACATAATTATTCAACATCTGAAATAATATCTGTTATTTTCAGGGAACTCAAAACCTTTAGAGACAGACTTCTCTTTTTCAGAGAACCCTAATCATTAAAAATTTTCTTCTTATATTGAACTTCTACCAGTATTCCAGTTTCTATTTTCTTAGGTTAAGGAAAATCAGTCTGATCCTTCTATGTACCTAACATCCCACATTTAAAGTCACTTCTCCATGTTCAGCAGCCCTATTATGTAGATAACCAATTTGTTGAGGTCTGTATTATACTACTTGGGTATGTTCCAGTTTGTCAGGGTCTTTTAATTTTTATTTTTATTTTATTTTTTTTTAGTGTGTGCTGGTGATCAAACCCAGGGCCTTATGCATTCTAAACGCTGGTTCTATCACTGAGCTACATCCCTAGCCCCACTGTCATCTTAAATATGGTGTCTGTAGTTGAACATAGATTGCGTGCATTTAACACTGACAGTTTTACTGTCACTTTTCCTGAACACTGTATTTAGTGAGGTACAAGAAAAAAATTGACTCTTTGATATTACTGTTAAAGAATTTAATGTATTATTTTTATTTGTTCTAAAAGGACTGCACATTCAGAATTATGTACTTTTTTGAGGGGCAGGGGTTTGGTTTGTTTTTACAGTGCTATAGATCAAACCTAGGGCCTTGTGCATGCTAGGCAAGCATCTACCAATAAGCTGTACTCCCTGCCCTTTAAAAAAAAAATTTTACCCTCTTCCCCCAGTTTTTTCCTTACTTGGGCCTCTCAAGCTCTTTATATGAATTAATTAGCAGAAGTTTATGTATTTTTTAAACAAATGTGAGCATTTAAAAAATATTCCATGCATTTCCACATTTGATTGTTCTTTGCACCAGAAAATGTGAAGTATACAGATACTAGGAAAAAGAAACTGCCTTTCCTTGCTTTGAATATTTTTCATTCTTAAGCCCAAGTCAGAGAAAAGAGAGAACATTGAGTACATCTAATTGATTAAATGTATGAATTTGTTAGAGTAAACTGAGAAGAGATTCTTGTAACGTAGCATTTGAAATTCGGCACAGGTGAAGGGAATAAAGAGACCATTGTGGAAGGGCCTTGCCCTTAGTAGGTAGGAACCTAGTGTTAACAGAATTCTCAGTAAGGTTGGAGGAAGAGAGAAAGATGGTTAATGGGTTGCTGTAGATCCTCCTGGACTCATGCTTGAATTTATTTGCTTGTTTTTTAGTTTTTATTGCTGATTTGCTGATTTATATACCTGCAGTGATTTTGTACTGTTGTTGTTTAAAAGCTATCTCAACTAAGAAAAAGGTAAGTTTTAAAGCAACCTGACATTTCATCTGTGAAATGCTTTCTTAATTCCCCTATTAAGGACAGACCTTAAAGAAGCTATACTTTAGGGAGTAGATAGAATATGATTCTACCAATTAATTACCAGTTAGAAAATATCACCTTATCTTACAGTAATTTTTTTCATGCCTTACTACAGTAATAAAAAGTTATGTACTGCTAAACTACACCCTGCACTAAATTTATTATTTAAGTAGTAAATCTGAATTTTGAGCTGGTTTGTGAGAATGACTAAACTGGAAGGTATTTGAACAGTTCCTCTATCCTCATAGCCATAGTTACCAAATATTATTTTTGACCATTTTAGATATAGGTTATTCATTAGAGTAACTTACCCAATTTGTATATTTTCTAAAAGTGACAAATACCTTCTTGTGATTTTTTCCCCTTTTTTATTGTAGTGTCCTTTGTTACCTCCATGAAAACTTAAGTGTCTAAAAAGTTGTTTTATAAAAATGAAATTTTTTGATAAAAAAGTATAGCAGATGAGGAAAATGGGAACTTTTTTTTACTGTTTGGGCATCAATTTGCTTTCTTATTTCACAATATTTTTCTTTACAGATTGCTAATGCATTATGCATATTACTGTATCCAGGTCTTATTCTCATCGACTATGGACATTTTCAGTATCCTTTACTAATTTAGAAATGAAATCAGTTACATGTTACAAAATCTAGGCTCAATTCACATAATATTCTCATCCTATAATATCTTACTGACCATGGGGCTGGGATTGTGGCTCAGTAGTAGAGCGCTCGTCTAGCACATGCGAGGCCCTTGGTTCAATCCTCAGCACCACATAAAAATAAACAAAATAAAGGTATTGTGTCCAATTACTTCTGAAAAATAAATATTTAAAAAAATATCTTACTGACCAGGATGGGTGCTTACATGAACTATTTGCATAAGCAGCTCTGGAGGAGGCTGAGACAGGAGGATTGCAAGTTCAAAGCCAGTCTCAGCAAAAGAACAGCCTTAAGCAACTCAGTGAGACCCTATCTCTAAAAAGTACAAAATTGGACTGGGGATGTGGCTCAGTGATTGAGTGCCCCTGAGTTTAATTCCTAGAACCCCCCCCCCAAAAAAAAAAAGCCAGATATAGTTTTTCTAATTCTAAAAAGGTTGTTCAGAAATATTATCTGACACTGACAAAAAGGAAAAGGTTTTCTTCCCTTTGTTTGGGTGGTGAGAATTGAACCCAGGGGGCCTTTACCACTGAGCACCATCTCTAGCCCTTTCTATTTTTTATTTTGATAAGGTCTTGATAAATTGCTTAAGGCCTTGCTGAGTTGCTGAGGCTGGCCTTGAATTTGTGATCCTCCTATCTTAGCCTCCCAAGTTGCTGGATTACAAGCATGTGTCACCACACCCAGCAAGCATTCTTATAGTTTTTCGAGTTATGAAACAAAATGTTTCCTTAACAGATAGTAATAACTTAAAGCTCTGGGAAACTACAATTGAATAATTTATGTGTTTTTTATTTAAAGTATTCTAATGAAGGAACATTTAGACAAGTAAATAAATCTTATAATTTGCTGAAAATTTGCATGTCTCTCCAATTTTTTTTTTTTTGGTAGTTCAACCTGTACCCCTCCGCCCCAGGATTTTATTTTTGTTGTTTGTTTTGGTTGCTGTTTTTGAGAAAGGGTTTCACCAAATTGCCCAGGTGGCTTCTAACTTGGGATCTTACTGCCTCACCCTCCCAAGTAGCTGGGATCACAGGTGTGCACCATTGTGCCTAGCTTTTTGGTTATAATAAAACTACGATGTATATCTTTAAAAAGAATTTGTAAAAGATGCTCAAATTTGTAATTGTTTTTATCACATATTTTTGATTCTGTTCACTTTTTGGGGGGTGGGGTACTGAGGATTGAACCCAGGGGTGCTCAACCATTGATCTACATCCCTAACCCCTATATTTTCTGTTTTAAGCCAGGGTCTGGCTAAGTTGCTAAGGCTATTGTCTAACATAAGATCTTCCTGCCTCAGCCACCTGAGTTGGGCTCAACATTTTGCTTGAGACTATTCATGAGGTTGTATATAGCTATAATTTGTTCATTTTTATTGCTTTGCGATACTACATGAACAGAAATAATCCTGTTACTGATAGGCATTTGGATTGTAGTGAGGTTTTGGCTGTGTTGAATACTGCTCTGAACATTCTTATAAATATCTCTTTGTGAACATGTATTTTTTATGGGTGGAATTGCTAAGTTATAGATGTGCCATGTCCAATTTTAGATACTCTCAAATTATTGTTTTATTAGTGCATTATAATTATACTAATAGTGGGATTCATTATGTGTGTTCATACATGCATAGAACATAATTTGATCAATGTCATTCCCTGGTACTCTCCCTATCCCTCTGTTCTTCCTCCCTTGATCTGCTTCTCTATGCTACTGATCGCCTTTATATTGTTATCCTCAGATTTTTTTTTTTTTTGTACTGGGGATTAAACCTGGAGTACTTTAAAACTGAGCCACATCTCCAGCCCTTTTTTTAAAAAAAAATATAAATATATATACATATATATATATATATAAGTGACAAGGTCTTGTTGAGCTGCTAAGTGCCTTGCTAATCTGCTGAGGCTGGCTTTGAACTTGCAATCCTTCTGCCTCAGACTCCCTAGTTGCTAGGATTACAGGTGTGTTTCACCATGCCCGGCTCTCAGATTATTTTTAAGAATGGTGCACCAGTTAATACTCTCATTAGTAATGCTGGAAGAGTCCTCATGCTCTCCATTTTCACTGATTCTCAGTCATTTTCATTTTACCCATTCTGGTAAATTTTTAGTTTTTCTCATCTGTGATTTGAATTACGTACTCAGTCAGGGCTTTTGGCTTTGTGGGGGCACATTTCTTTAACAATTATGTACCCCCCCATCTGCAAAATAGGGCTAATAATAACTATTACTTTGTAAACTTGTTTTGAGAATTAAATGAATGAATATTTATAAAGCACTTAAAACAAGTTCTTGGGAAATGCTAAGTATTATGTAGATATTTACTGCTACAAAATCATTTTTGTTTTTATTATTTACCTTTTGGGCTCTGAAATTTGCAGTGATTTGTTTAGGCACAGGTATTCTTCACAGTTGTTTTACACACTGAATGGGTCTGTTTAATTTGAAGTCATGTTCTTCAGTTCTGTGAAATTCTTTTACATTATTTGCTTGATAATTTTTGACCTTATTAGTCAGATGTTAAAACTTTTACCTACATCTTGAGCACAACTATATCTTTTCTTTTATGATTTAGAAGGTTATCTTGACTTTTAATACTTCTATTAAATTTTACTTGTTTCATTATGCATGTTTTGAATTTCTAATTAGAATTTCTTTCCTGTTTTTCTTTTGATTCTTTGTATTATTTGATGTACATTACAGAGGAAGTAAATTGATCTCAATAAGTTTTATTTTATTTTTTTAACTTACTGTTGGAGCAGTGTTTGATTTTGTAGATTTTGGTATGTTGTTAAGAGTAGTACTGCCAAGTAGTCAAAAAAAAGAAAGCTGGGGCTGGGGTTGTGGCTGAGTGGTGGTGGAGTGCTTTCTTTGCATGTGTAAGGCCCTGGGTTCGATCCTCAGTACCATATTAAAAAATATATATATATAAATAAAAGTATTAAAAAAAGAAACAACACTATATTTTAACCATTTAGAGCTATTTTAATCCTAAACATATTAGTTGCTCTTTAGCAGTAGGCTTAATATATTTGAGGCTATTGTATATGATTTCATATTTGTTTATTACCTTAATACTTTTGGTTTCTTCTTAGAAGTAGCTTTTATGGTATATGTATATTATTTTGAAATTACATAAGAAATATGCTGTATAAACTGTAAGACCTACTTCTTCTAATAATATATTGAGATAATTTCCTTGACACAGGAACATATATAATTCTGTGAGTCTGGGCTTTGCTTTGTGGGGTGTTCTTGGAGTATCTTATGACTGGGACCTGCTAGGGTCACTGGCATTTTGTTTAGCTATAAATTATAAACAGATGGAACTTTACCATTCCTTGCCATTTTTTTGCTTTTTACTTGGCAAGTGTTTAAAAAAAGGCCTCAAAGGAAAAGGGTGAGTGACTTTTAAACACCAGAATTCAAAATTTTACTTCAGAGAGTTTATTTGGCATACTTACTTGGAGAGAGGTGGTCCTTCACTTGGCCTTTTGGTGATTTCTAATAAATGTGTTGGCCACCGGTGAATCCGAAGAAAGTGATTAAGTCATATTCTATATTGTTTTGAATCTTCTTAATTAGAGAGATAGTTTGATCATTGTACACTTACTGGAGGTAATGTGGATTGGTTTGTTAGAGCATTGTTGTAGGATTTCATCTCTTTAGAGCTTATTACATTATATACTTATTAGAAATACTTCCTCATTTTACATTGACTGTGTCCCTTTCTTCCCATAGAAATGGCATCAAAGTTAAAAGTTAATTAGGATGATGACAGCAGTCTTTTTGTTGAAGTGCACATCTTAACAGCTCTGAAATTTTTAAATCTGATTCTGGCCAACTCCCATCTCATCCATTTGCATTTATTGTATTCAATGAAATTTAACATCAGTTTTGCAGAAATCCCTATCTTACTGCTCATCCTTGTTTTGGTTCTAGGTTCAGGTTGTTAGTTAAGCTAGCTTGTACCGTTGTGGCTTCATTCATTCTCTGCTGGCTGCCATTCTTTACAGAAAGGGAACAAGCCTTGCAGGTCCTAAGAAGACTCTTCCCAGTTGATCGTGGATTATTTGAGGTATGTTTATAACCTTTCCTGTCATTCCTTTCTGTTACTGTCCTTTCCTTGTAACTTCTGGGGAATTCATATAGGAGACACACAGGACTAGAGACCCCAGCAGCTTTCCTCCTTGCAGTCATTGATTCAGTATAGAATGCCTAGCTCAGCTTGCATTTTCTAGTTCATAATACGAATACATTAGTATTTTTGTCATCATCAAATCCATAATTCAGTTATATATTTTTCTAGTGAAATAGGGTCCATAATGAAAGGTGGCATGAGAAGCAGCAGCTACAAAGATAACAACAACTCTGTAATTTTTTGATTTGTGTTCTTTTTAGTCTTAGGAAAGTATTTGTTAAACTAATAATCATGTTTGCTCCAGAAAGATCTCCTAATTCCTTATGAGATATGTATAACCTTCATCCATAGTAATTTTTAATGAGAATCTTTCATTTCATTTAATGCTAGTTTAATCACTCTTGTTAAAGTTTTATTACATGAATAATTTGATCATTTAGATTTAGTAATTAAATTAAACAAACTATTTTTCTGAAACAAAAAAGCCTTTTAATAAAGTTAGAGACAACATACTTATAGATAATTTGCTTTTAAAAAAGTACGTATTTCTAATTTTTAAATACATAAATTTCTATATACTATCTTTCAATGGATTTATAGGAATGAGCATTTTGAAAGAGACTGAGTGCGAAAGGAGTTTGCTGTTACAAAGGAAAGGAATAGGAGTGTGTGTGTGACTGTCTGTGGGGATGATGGTGGTGCTGATACTGATTAAAAAAACAATCACTATTATCACCACCACTTACTGGGTGCCAGGTCTTTATTTGATCCTTACAGTAGCTCTAAAATAGCAGTTAGCTCCACTTTAAAGATAAGAAAACTGAGATCAGAGGTTCCGGTAATTAGTATGTGACGGAGCTGTAATTTAAACTCTGACAGCTATACTCTTGACCTTCTTTTTATATAAAGTCTAACATTTATATAAAGAAAAGTTTAATTCTGCATGAAAGCTGCCTGTTTTTTTGCCTTACCTTCCTTTTCAGAAAGGGTATTTCTCATGATAATAACAAAAATGGATATCAGGCACTTTCATTCACTTGTTGCCCTCAAAAGCCTGAAGGGCATTTTCTTTGATGAGACACAGTGGTTGTCAGTGACTTTCTTGATGTCATGCCTATGCACTGTGAATCAAGCAACAGTATAGAGGAGGGTTTTATGAGCAGAACTGCAGTTCAAATTTAATTTTGAAAGTTATCCTAGCACAACTGCTAATGTTTTTAAACTTCTTGATTTATTAGCAATTAGCTCTTGTCATTGCTTGTACCTAGTAATTCACTCTAAATAAATTTAGGTGTGTAATAAAATGTATCAAATGTAATATGTTTTACAGATGGGGAAAAATTTAAAAACAAAAATTTCAAAGGAATAACTTCAGTTATTAAGAATGATCTACTGCTTTTTGAAAAACATCAAGTATTTTTAGGGAATGTTGCGTTGAGACTATGGTTGGCTGATGATTTCCACTAACTCCCTCCCATCAGAAAAACAAAAAGCAAGATGCTTGAGTGCAGGTGTGAGTGTAGGTGTAGGTGTTTGTTGCTTGAAGAATTTAATCTACCTTGTTATAAATGTGAATGAAAGTTTCACATGTTTCAAAAGTTTATTTACTTTTATTTACTTTGATTTACTTTTATTTACTTTTGGTTTATTTAGTATGTTTTTCAATTTACCAAAATGTAAAACAAATCTTTTTTAGGATAAAGTAGCCAATATTTGGTGCAGCCTCAGTGTTTTTCTGAAGATTAAGGACATTTTGCCACGACACACTCAGATAATAATCAGGTAATACACTCAGTTTCTATATAGTGTTTTATAAACTATCCTCTAAAAGTATCATAACAAGGGGGAGGGAAGAGGGGAAGAAGAGGAAAAAGACTAGGGAATGAAATTGACCAAATTATAGTTATATTGTGTGTACATACAAATGTGTAACAATGAATCCCACTTTTATGTATAATTATAATGCACCAATAAAAAAAGGTTTAAAAATATTATAGTAATACCTCATTTATCTGAAATTATTAGGGAATGAAGTATTCTTCACTAGTGGATTTTCAACTTAAATTTATCCCTCTATACAATAAAATTCTCTTGTTTGATTGATTGATAGATTCTGGGGATTTGAACTTAGGGCACTTGACAACATCTCCATCCCTGTTTTGTATTTTATTTAGAGACAGGGTTGCTTAGTGCCTCATTTTTTGCTGAGTCTGGTTTTGAACTCGCTATCTTCCAGCCTTAGCCTCCCAAGCCTCTGGGATTACAGGAGTGTGCTACTGTGCCCAGCTTGTTTGATTTATTTTATGTGAAAGTCTTTCTTCATTTTTACCTAGTTTTCTCCTTAAACAGAGATCACTGAATATTGTTTACCATGGTCTTGAAATATCATGAATTTCAGTAGGGTATCAGCTAAGGTCAACCAAGGAAATAGAACAAGTTTGAGGTCATCATTTGTGTGTGTGTGTGTGTGTGTGTGTGTATGTGCATACACACATGCACACCTATGTATCTCTGCATGTGGATTTATTGCCAGGAATAGTGTTGTGCAGTTGTGGGGGGCTGGCTGAGCACACAAGAAGTCCACAGGCAGATGGTCAAAAAGAAATATTTAGGGGTAAAGAAGAGTGATTGAGATCCAGTACCTGTAAGGGAAGACCTAAGCTCTTTTTTAAAGGGCTTCCCAGTTAGACCCTAGGACAGTCTCCCTTTGAATGACTTAAAACTTATGTGTAGAACCCAGGAGCATGTAACCCAGGGGCACTCTACCACTGAGCTACATCCCCAGTCTTTTTAATTTTTTTTTTTTTTATTTTGAGACCAGGTCTAAGTTGCCAAGGCTGGCCTTGGACTTGTGATTCTCCTGCCTCAGCCTCTCCAGTTGCTGGAATCACACAGTCATGTGCCACTGTGCCTAGCCCTTTTAATTAACTTAAAGTCCACCAAATTGGTACTTTACATCCGTGAAGTCTCTTCACAGCAGCACCTAGCATTTGAATCACTGGGAAATGGGTGTTGTTTCCCTCTTGCCCTCTCAGCTTGCAGCCCACTGCAACAGGAAGCACACAGTAAGGGAATTCTGGGAACTTCAGTTCAGCCTAGCCAAGTTGACAAGTCACAGGACCACAAGTAGGAAGAATCAGTTCCTGTGTTAGGTTATATACTTGTTGTCAGGGATTAGAGGAGTGTCTGCCATTGTGCTCTTACTCCAGTGTGTCTGTGTTCTCTCGTTCTTTTCTCCCCCTGCCCGTCAGCCATCACCAAGAGCAGCTTTAGTAGCTTTTTGTTCCCGTTATATCTTGTTCTTTCTAACTTATCATGGGCTTGAAAATCAGAGTCAACTTTTATGAAGTGAGGGCCAGAGAGACTCTCCTGTTAAACAATAACATTTGTGTGCACATGTGTGTTTGTGTGTGCGTGTGTGTGTGTGTGTGTGTGTGTGTGTGTGTTGGGGACAGGAGAGGACACTTTGAGAGGTAAGGGTCCAAAACAATGGATCAATTTCAGAAAACAGTCTTGTCTATTTACTTGGTAATTGACCTCTAACTATATATTTTTGTATCTTTTCTTTTTTTTAAAAAATATTTTTAGTTGTAGATGGACACGGTATCTTTATTTTTTTATGTGGTGCTGAGAATTGAACTTAGTGCCTCACACATGCTAGGCAAGCGCTCTACCACTGAGCCACAGCCTCAGCCCTCTTTGTTATCTTTTCTATACCTGATATTAAGTACTAAAATAGCTTCAGCAGTATTTAGTATCATGTTTTGTTCTGTATTATATAATTTTGTATAAAAGTATATTCACATTTTAGTGTGTAGCTTTTATTTAAATGTTTTTTGTTCTTCTATTTCAATTTAATAAAATTTAATTTGAAATCAACTTAAGTTGATAAATAATGTGATTCCTAAATTTTTAAAAAGTATTTGTTTAGCTAGATTTATACCTCTATAAAGAAAACAAATATTTGGGCTAGGGTTGTAGGTCAATGGTAGACCACTTGTCTCGCATGCATGAGGCCCTGGGTCCCATCCTTAGCACCTCATAAAAATAAATAAAAATAAAGATATTTAAAAAAAATAAAAGAAAGGAAACATATTTTATTCTTATTCATTTTTTTTTTAGCTTTTGTTTTACATTTTTGAGCTTGCTTCCTGCATGTATAAAATTAATACTTCATCCCTCTCCCAGAGGATTCAGATTTACTCTGGTAAGTTTGTAATACTTTACATACTTAATTTTTGCTACAAATGATCTTTTAAAAAATAATAATTATTTTCTTGCTTTGACCAAAATTTATTGGGGATTAAGAGATGCATTTATTTGGTCAACATTTATTGAGTGTTTCCTCTTCTTAGAGGCTGTCTGTGTTGGGCAGTAGGCTGAGCAATCAGAATATTTCAGTTAACTTGAACAACTGTTTAATTCCTGTTTTGTATTGGGTTAATGAAGGAATACAAAGAAGAAAACAGTGATGATAAACATACGCTTAAATAATTTTGCAGTCAGGCAGATGGCATTAAGTTCTGTCAGTTACAAATGATGGTATGGGAAGGGGAGATATCTTGGAGGAAAACTTTAGACAGCTGCTTAGAGCAAGTGGGCTTTGAGGCATATTTTGAAAGCTGGGCAAGATTTGGAACAGGAGGTCACATAGTAGAAAAGAAATTCAAGATAGGAAGAAGAGCTTGAAGAAGGGGTAGGATAGGACAAGGAACATTCTGGGAAAAGCTATTAAACAATAAAATTTGTGTGTGCGCACGTGTGTGCCTGTGTGTGTGTGCGTGTGTGTGTGCCTGTGTGTGTGTGTGTGTGTAAGAGGATACCGTGAGAGGTAAGGGTCCAAAACAATGGATCAAATTTTAGAAGAATTTAAATGTCTGATTTTTGGGAGAAGGGGGTGGGAATAGATAGATCTCTGTTTTAGGAAGATGACTTGTGTCAATTTGAGGATGGATTGGGTATATTTCCTATAGTTAGGGATTTTCTGAGTAGGCCTGTAAATTTCTCTTGGTTGTATTTCTGTGGCATTTAAATTTTTGTTATTGTGTGCCTTGGTCTATAAAGTGATATTTAAAATTCCCTTTAAAGTACCAAGAACATTTAGTTTATGAAAACAGTAAATCCCAGTGGATTTATAAGAGGACAACATTTTAGAAATTAGTGTTTCAATCTGGAACTGCCACTTATGTATGTTGCATAGTAAAAACAAGTCAGAATTGACCATAACAGTGAAATATTTCAAAAATATATCTCAGTACCACAATACAAAAAGGATATGTTTGTGTTCCTGTTTTCTTTTTTGTTACCTTTCAATTAATGATTTGTTTTATTCTGTGAATGAACTCTGATGTCATCTGTTGTTAATATTCTATAGGATGGTTAGAACAGGATGGGTATGGTTAATAATTCTTTGGTGTCTTCAGTAGGCCTAACTTGAAATATTTTCAAATTTATGAGAGATTATATTATTGTTCTAGGAAATAGCTTGGCAAATAAATGTATATTTCAAAGATAATGGAATAGAACTTTAGAATGTAACTGTAGTAGTGTTAGATATGATTACTTTTAAGCACTGTAAGCCAGAAAAAAATGTTTCTTTTTTTTTATTTCCTAATTTTATTCTATTCAGTAGATTTTATTACAAGCCACTGTGTTAAAACAATGATTTTTGTTATTTTGTTTTTGTTGATAACTGATACTGTTTTGAATTCTGATTGTATACTTCTGAGAGCTTTAAAAACATTTACTATTATAGTTATTTTAAACATTTCCTTTCAATTGTTTGGTTGAATTATATCAATATAAATCTACAATGAGATAATAGATACTATGAATATTCATCTATCTATAGCAACAAAATGATTTGAATTTACTTTATTAAAGTAGTATTATTGAGTGCCCTCTACTGTGCCAGGTGCTCTTCGAGGTACTGAATGTAAGTGAATAACAGATAACAGTCCTACTCACCTTACTGGTGTCTTTCATGCTAGTGGTGGAAGATGGAAAATATATCAGTTAAGAAGAAAATACCTGGGAGTAATGGGTGCTACAGAGAAAATAGTGTTATATGAAAAGAGCTGATGGATGGGTTAGAGGACACTGCGTTTTTTTTTTTTTTTAAAATTTTTTAGCTCTAGATGAATACAATACTTTTATTTATTTATCTTTATATGGTGCTGAGGATCGAACCCAGTGCCTTACAGGTGCTAGGCAAGCACTCTACCACTGAGCCACAACCCCAGCCCGACACTGCTTTATTTTTATTTATTAATTCATTTATTTTAAGACAGGGCCTCACTATGTTGCCTAGATTGGTCTGAAACTCTTGGGCTCAAGGGATCCTCCTGCTTCAGACTCCCAAGTGGTTAGGATGACAGACTGAACTGCTGTGCCCAGTGAGGACACTACTTTGAGTTAGGGACGTCTTTGTAGAGAAGTAACATTTGAGCCAAGAGATGAATACCACCAGAAGGAGCCAATCATAAGACCTAGGCCTTGACTTGAAAAAATCAGATCTTTCCTTAAGGCAGAACACATCTGGCACGCCCGAGGCATAAAGGGATAGGTAGGAAGTTGTTGATGTGAAGTGAGCAAGGGAGACAGCAACTGATGAGCTTGAAGAGGAAATAGGAGCCAGATCCCGCATGGGTTAGGATTTTATTCTAAATGTAATGTGTAGCTAGTGGAGGATTTTAAAAAGGGAAATTATATGATCTGACATGATGGCTGCTTAGAGAATAGACTGTATGGGGCAAAAATGTTAATAGATTATATTGTACTAGTCCAGGATAAAGATGGGCGTAGCTTGGACCTTTGCCACCATCAGCAGAGGAGAATGCAGATTAAATGGATGTTTTATTTAGGAGGTGTTGTAAGGTAGTATTTGCTGATGGATTAGATGTATGGGGTATACAAGATAATCAGATTTTTTGCTTGAGCAAAACTAGTTGTACATCAACATATATTCTTCAGAATACAAATTTCTCAAAATCTAAGTAACTTATTTAAAACCCCAAAGAGCAGATGAATTTACAAAACAATTTTAGCATATTTTATTGAAGCATACATTTTATAAACACTGCAATAGATTCGTTTTTAGATATCAAACTTTTTGTCCTAAACTGTCAGATTCCAAGGGAGAATGAAGGTGTGATTGTTGTATATATTTACTGGTTTTGTTTGTTAATAACTGAGTCCCAATGAACTTGTTTTAGATGTTTATGTATAGTTTATAACCACTGTTTTTTGAAAAACATTTTCAAGATTCTATTCAAATATTATACATCAGTTCTGCATTTATATTTTATTTCTAGATAGAAGCTATAATATTCATATTTCACTTGAAATGATTATTTACATTCATAATTGATATATTTTACAAGTTGATATATCTCATCCCCTTCTTTTTTTTCTTAAAGGTTAGCTGTGCATTATCATTCTTTTTATTTTCTTTCCAAGTACATGAAAAGTCCGTTCTCTTGGTATCATTGTAAGTAGAAATGTTTGAAGTATATATTTCCTATTGTATAATTTATAAGTACATTTATAATTTACACAAATATTCAAGTGCAAAATAAAAGTACACTAATATTTTTACATATAATTATTAGTCAGTTTTTTCAGGATGATGACATCTTAAATTTTATTTCTTTATAAAATCTATTTTAAATAAAAAAAATTGATATAATTATTATTAGATGGGGCTTTGAACTAAAATCTGCTGGGCTGGCCCATGTGGAAAGTGTCTTCACTCTAAACAAAACAGACTCATATCACGATAGACTGGGAAGACTACTTGGTATCATGCCCTGAAGCCCAAACCTGAGTTAGATTTTACCGGTTTAATAAGGTGACAGGGGCCTAAATCATGTAGGACCTTGTAGGTGGTATTATAAACTTTGGTTTTTATTCTGAAGGTAATGGGGAGCTAGGCACTGTTTCAAATAAGGTGAAGGGGAAGGGTGAGAGAAGAGAATGACCATGTAGGGAATTGCTACATAATTATGAATTTTACAGAATCTCAAGGTTAGGGGCTATTCATCTTTGTATTCTCAGAGCAGTCCTATATATGTAATAATAAATGTTTCATCAGTGCTTGAGTTGTAACTAAATATTGAATGAAAAATTGGGAAAGAATTAAGACCCCGAAAACCAGTGAATATTAAGCACCTTCTATATACTTGCCAAATGAATCCATTTTGATTTAGAATATATTCAAGTAGTGAAATAGAAAGTCCTCTGGTATTATTTCTTAGTATAGTTTTCAACCAGTTTATAATCCAGCGCTTAAATCTCACATACTAGTTGACATGGGGAAAAGTTATCCTTCTAAAGAAAGGAGGAGACTGTTATACCTTCATAAAGCATTTGTAAAAATAAGAAGAGCCAAATAATAATAATGTAGCAACAATTATTCAATAACCATCATCATTAGAAAAGTTTATTTTTATTGTTAACAAATACTAGATGATACCTGTAGAGAGTTCTTTCAACTATTTAATAGTATAGGGTATTTACATGTACACATAAGAAAACATGTTAATCATTGACTCAAGATCTCAAGTGACAGAAATGGGACCTGGACTCAGGGCTTCTTAGTAGCCCCTTTCTCCTTGAGCACTGACATAGCTGTATCCACAAGGTACTGGATCAGGAGTTGTACTAAGGTCAGAGCTAAGATGTGAACCAGCTCTTTGATAACAGCTCTATTTACTGATATTGTGCTTCCTGTTCCTCTACTATTGCTCTTTTTTTGGTGGGGGTGGTACCAGGGATTGAATTCAGGGCAATCAACCACTGAGCCACATCTCCAGCCTTATTTTGTATTTTATAGAGACAGGGTTTCACTGAGTTGCTTAGTGCCTGATGTTGCTGAGGCTGGCTTTGAACTCATGATCCTCCTGTCTCAGCCTCCCGAGCTGCTGGGATTACGGGCACGGGCCACCACACCCGGCTTCACTTTTTAAATATAGTCTTTTACTATTACTTTTCTTTTAGTCTACCATTATCAATGTGCTTCCCTTTACAACTCACATCTGTTATCCTCTCTTCAGTGGCCTGATATTGTCTGTTTTAACTTCAGGGGTTTTTGAGGGAAGGTACCAGGGATTGAACCCTGGGGCACTTTACTACTGAGCCATACCTCCAGTTCTTTTTTCTTTTTCTTTTGAGACAAGAGGCTCATGAAGATGCTAAGGCTGGCCTTGAACTTGGGATCTTCCTTCTTCAGACTCCCAAGTCACTGGGAGTACAGGTGTACACCACTGTGCCTGGCTTATAACTTTAGTTTTTAACTTAGCCGAGTGATAAATAATATGGAGGGTCATAAAACAAAAGTTTGAAAGCAACTGTTTTGGGAATTCATTTCATATTTACCTAGTAGGATGAAATATATGAAAAAGCTTGCTTTCTCTGAATGTTCAGATTTGCCTTATCTGACTCTTTCCTTAGGGTACTATTTGTAAGATAGAGAAAAATATTCCATTAATGGCATATTGGAAGCAGCAGTTTCCCAGTTATGAGGAGTTTACACCTTCTCTGGTTCTAGACTTAGTTTAGACTGTTATAAATAATGAATCAGTAGTCCATGTGGAGTCCTTCCTGGATTTTTCTTTTAAGCTACCCCTGAAAATCAGACACATAAAATGTGCTTATATTTTTTACAAGTAGTTGTTGAAATTATATTCTTTAATACTATTTTTTTTTTGTCATTTTAGACCAGTTTGCTTAGTTTTAAATGAAATTCCTTTTATGTCTACTTGGTTTTTACTTGTGTCAACATTTAGGTGAGTCAAGCCAACTTCTACATAATATTTTCAGTATGATTCCGATAAACTCATTTAAGACACTTTTACAAAATGATGATTTGTGTTGATTGTGCTTTGGTGTTTTTTGTTTTCCTTTACAGTATGCTACCTCTTCTATTAAAGGATGAGCTCCTAATGCCCTCCTTTGTGACAGTGATGGCATTTTTTATAGCTTGTGCAACTTTCTTTCCAATATTTGAAAAGATGTCTGAAGAAGAACTGCAGTTAAAATCTTTTTCCATTTCTATAAGGAAATATCTTCCACGTTTTACATTTCTTCCCAGAATTATACAACATTTGGTAAGTTGTATTTAAGGAATGGTACATTTTCTAGCATGCCACTATTTTTTCAAATTATTGAAATATCTTTTTTCTTTTCTAACTTTATGAGAAATTAGTCACATAATCCACCCATTTAATGTGTATGCTCTAGTGGTTTTAAGTATGTACACAGATTTGTACATTATCACAATAATCTAATTTTACATTTTTTCATTACCCCCCCCCCCAAAACCCTTATACTCATTAGCAGTCATTCTCCATCATACCCTCATTTCTAACTCTCAACTTTGGATAGCCACTAATATGCTCTTTGTCTCTATAGATTTACCTGTTCTGGACATTTCATACAAATGGACTATCATAGTTAGCTTAGGCTGCCATAACAAAATACCAAAGACTGGGTACCTTTAACAACAGAAATTTATTTCCTCAGAGTTCTAGAGGCTAGGAGTCCAAAATCAAGGTGCCATCAGGGTAAGTTTCTGGTAGGCCTACTCTTCCTGGTTTATACAGAGCCACCTTTTTCCTGTGTTGTCATATAGCCTCTACTTTGTACTCATATAAGGAGAAATCTTTGGTTTCTATGCCTTTTTTCTTTATAAGTACATTAGTGCTACTGGTTTAGGGCCTCACTACTATAGATGGGCTCATTTAACTTTAATTACCTCTCTAAAAGCCCTGACTCCAAATATAGTGACATTAGGGGTTAGGACTTCAAAATATGGATTTTGGGGTGGGACATAGTTCAGTCCATAACATGGAATCATACAAAATATGGACTTTTGTGACTGGTTTCTTTTACTTAGAATAATATTTTTGAGTTCATTTGTGTTATACCATCTATTAGTATTTTATTTCTTTTTATTGCCAAATTGTATTCCATTATATTGATATGCCATGTTTTGTTTATCCATCAAATAATGGACATATTAGGTTTCTTCTTTTGGGCTATTATGAATAATACTATTATTGACATTTGTGCATAAGGTTTGAGTCTACATAAATTTTCATTTTCCTTGAGTAGAGTTGCTGGGTCTTATAGTAGTTCTGTGTTTTAATATTTTCAGAAATTGCTAAACTGTTCACAAAGTGTACCATGATTCTACATTCTCACCAACAATGTTTGGGTTTCCAGTTTCTGTACATCCTTGACAGCATTTGTTGTTGTCTTTTGAACTATAGCTTAACTAGTGATTGTCAAGTGGTATCTCATTATAGTTGTGATTTGTATTTCTCTTTTCTTTTGGTAGGGATTGAATGCAGCTGTGCTTAACCACTGAGCCACTTTGCAGCATTATTTTATATTTTATTTTGAGATAGCATCACCCTAAGTTGCTCAGGGCCTTGCTAAGTTGCTTTTAACTTGCAATCCTCCTGTCTCAGCTTCTGTAGCTCCTGGATTACAGGCATGTGCCCCCATGCCAGCTATTTGTGTTTTTCTAATGAAAGACGTTGAGCATTTGCTTAATAGCCATCTCTATATCTTGTATGGAGAAAATGACTACTCAATCCGTTACTTTTTTTCCTCCTAGTGCTGGGAACTGAACTCAGGGCGTTGCACATGCTAGGCAAGCAGTACCACTGAGTTATAGTCTAGCACCCTCTTCTCATTTTTAGTTGGATTGTCTTTTGTTTTTTGAGTGTTGAGACTTTTTTTTATACATTATATTTTTCTTTATAAATTCTTGATGAGTCCCTTACCAGATATATGACTTGCACATATTTTCTGACATTCTGAGTTGATGGCATTATATGGAGCATACAAGTTTTGATTCTGAAAAAATTTTAATGTCTATTTTTTCTTTTGTTGCTTGTGCTTTTGGTGTCATCTATAAGAAAACCTGTGTAACCAATGGTCATGAATATTTACTCCTGTTTTCTTCTAAGTTTTATAGTTTGTTTTTATATCTACAACTTTAATTCATTTTGTGCTTATTCAGCTATCTCAGTTCTGCAAAACTGCTTTGGCATGCTTGTTGAAAATCATCTGATCCTAAAGTAAGGTCTATAGTTTTGATGTCTTTGTCAGTTCACAGTTTCTATATTTAGAGGGCATTATATTCATATTTGTATTATTGAGATTATTACAGTAATTTTATATGTTGAAAATGCTAGGTTGTAATCTACCTGAGGACAAGGTGTTTTTTTGTTTTTGTTTTTATGGCACAGAGGATTGATCAGGGCCTCACATATGCTAGGCAAGCACTTTACTATTGAGATACATCTCTAGCCTAGAATTCTTTTTTTCTCCCATTTTTAAAATTTGTTCTACTTAGTTATATATGACAGCAGAATGCATTTCAATTCATTGTTCACAAATAGAGCACAACATTCCAATTCTCTGGTTATACACCATATAGAGAGCCTCACCATTTGTGCAGTCATGTACGAATGTACCTATGTACCTAGGGTAATGATGTCCATCTCATTCCACCATCTTTCTTGTTCCTTAGCCCCTCCACTCCCCATCCTCCCCTTTGCCCATTCCGAAGTTTCTCCATTCTTCTCATGACCCTCCTCACCCACCCCATTGTGGATCAGCATCCACTAATCAAAGAAAACATTTGGCCTTTGGTTTTGGGGGATCAGCTTATTTTGCTTAGCATGATATTCTTCAGTTCCATCCATTTACCTGCAAATGCCATAATTTTATTCTCTTTTAGTGCTGAGTAATATTCCATTGTTTATATTGTGTTTCTTTATCCATTAATCTTTTGATGGGCATCTCAGTTGGTTCCAATTTAGCTACTGTGAATTGAGGTGCTATAAACATTGATGTGGCTGTGTTTATGCTGATTTTAAGTCCTGAGGGATAGGATAGATGGGTCAAATGGTGGTTCCATTCCAAGTTTTCCAAGTTTTCTGGGGAATCTCCTTACTGCTTTCCAAAGTGGTTGCACCAATTTGCAGTCCCACCAGCAATATATGAGTGAATCTTTTTCCCCACATTCTCACCATCACTTATTGGTTGTATTCCTGATAACTGCCACTGGAGTGAGATGGAATCTTAGAGTAGTTTTAATTTGCATTTCTCCAGTTACTAGAGATGTTGAACATTCTTTTCATATATTGGTTGAGTGCTTATATATCTTCTTCTGAAAAGTCTGTTCAGTTCCTTAGCCCATTTCTTGATTGGTTTTTCTGTTGTTAAGTTTTTTGAGTTCATTATGTATCCTGGAGATTAGTGCTCTATCTGATGTGTGTGTGGTAAAGATATTTCTGTAGATACCGCTCTTTACATCATTGGTTGTTTCGTTTGCTGAGGAACCTTTTAATTTGAATCCATCCCACTAATTGATTCTTAATTTTACATCTTGCACTTTAGGAGTCTTGTTAAGGAAGTTGGGACCTAATCTGACATGATGAAGATTTGGGCCTACTTTTTCTTCTAGTAAATGCAGGGTCTCTAGTCTAATTCCTAGGTCCTTGATCCACTTTTGAGTTTTGTGCATGGTAAGAGATAGAGGCTTGATTTCATTTTGCTGTATATGGATTTCCAGTTTCCTCAGCACCATTTGTTGAAGAGGCTATCCTTTCTCCAATGTATGTTTTTGGCACCTTTCTCTAGTATGACATAGCCATATTTATGTGGGTGTGTTGCTATGTTTTCTATTTTGTATCATTGGCCTACAAGGTTATTTTGGTGCCAATACCATGCTGATTTTGTTACTGTTGCTCTGTAGTATAGTTTAAGATTTGGTATTGTGATGCCTCCTGCTTCACTTTTCTTGCTGAGGATTGCTATGGCTATTCTGGGTCTCTTATTTTTCCAAATGAATTTTATGATTGCCTTTTCTATGAAGAATGCCATTGGGATTTTAATAGGAATTGCATTAAATCTGTGTAACAGTTTTGGTAGTATGGCCATTTTGACAATATTCATTCTGACTATCTAAAAGCATGGGAGATCTTTCCATCTTCTAAGTCTTCTTCAATTTCTTACTTTAGTGTTCTGTAGTTTTCATTGTAGAGGTCTTTCACCTCTTTTATTAGATTGATTTCCAAGTATTTTATCTTCTTAAATACTATTTTGAATGGGGTAATTTTCCTAATTTCTCTTTCAGTGCATTCATTGCTTATGTTTAGAAATGCATTTGATTTATAGATATTGATTTTATATTTTGCTACTTTGCCGAATTCCTTTATTAGTTCTATAAGTTTTCTGGTGGATTTTTTTGATCTTCTAAATACAGAGTCATGTCATCAGCAAATAGGGATAGTTTGAGCTCTTCTTTTTCTATGTGTATCCCTTTAATTTCTTTTGTTTGCTCTGGCTAGAATTTCAAGGACTGTTGAATACAAGTGGTGAAAGAGAGTATCCCTGTCTTATTCCAGTTTTTAGACGGAATGCTTTCAGTAGAATGATGTTGGCCTTGGGCTTAACATAGATAGCTTTTACAGTGTTGAGGCATTTTTTACTATTCCTAGTTTTTATAGTGTTTTGAACATGAAAAGGTGCTGTATTTTGTTAAATGCTTTTTCAGCATCTATTGAGATAATCAGGATTTTTGTCTCTAAGTCTGTTAATGATTTCTGTATGTTGAACCAACCTTGCATCTGAGATGAACTCCACTTGACCTTTTGAATATGCTTTTGTATGCAATTTGTCAGATTTTTATTGAGAATTTTTGCATCTGTATTCATCAGGGATACCAGCCTAGAATTCTTGATTTTATACATACTATTATATAAGTAGCTTCTATCAGTACATGGTAGGTAGTGAGTACTTGTTTGTTGAATGAATGGACATTCACCATCTGATTATTAGAGGTAGCTCAAATGTCAAGTAGCTAGAAAATAGTATATGAGTTACTATATAAGTTCCATGGAATATTTTAAAGTATTCAAATGTTTATGAAAGAATGTATAATAAATGGAAAGTTTATTAGAGAGCTAAGCATGTGTGTATATGTGAAATATATATGACATATATTTGTATACATGTAACACATGAAAGTATATATATATATATATATATACACATATAATTTTTTTTTCAAAATAAGCAAATAAAAATTGCATACAAAACAAATGTATTGGGGCTGGGGTTGTGGCTCAGTGGTAGAACGCTTGCTTCACGTGTGCCTCAGCACCACATAAATAGAATCAAGGTATTGTGTCCATCTACAACTAAAAATTTTTTTAAAATCTATTTTTTAGACTGGAAACACTTCATGTGATTTTTCCTTTAGCTTTTAAATGTCTAACTTTTAAAATAAGATATGTTTTATAACTAAAATAAGTCAGTCAGCATTCCTAGTAAAATATGAATAGAATGGCTGACATGGTAGGTATAGAAAGTGTCAGCTCTTTCCTTACTGGGGGAAATAACAGGTTTTAAATTTATTTTATTTTTAAGGACTACATAGTATGGAGGATTACACAAGGTACCCAAATAACAAAAAAAGAATAGTTAACTTTGCTAGGGGAGTGCAGAAAGTTCTAAAGGAGGTGGTGTTTGTTTTATGTACATCTTGAAGGAACAGCAGACAGGCATTCTCAGAGCAGAGATGAATGGATGTCCTGAGGTTTTTGCATTTTAGATCATGACCATGGAGGATAGGAATGGGGAGGTAGAAAGTTAAGAGGTGAACCAGAAAGACAATGATAGGATTAACTGACTGTACTGGGGTTCAAATGGAAAGCAAGGTCTCAAGGTTCACTTTTTGCCATTAGCACAGGCCCAAATCTTTGGATGTATGTCACACTCGACTCCTACTGTGATACAATCTGGTCCAGTAGTCAAGGTGAGAACCATTAGGTACTCTTAGATTTACGTCTGAAGGCTTACTATGTGCCAAGGACTTTTCTGGAGGCTGAGGATACAGCAGTGAACAAAATTAACAAAAATCACTGCTGTCGCGGAGATTACATCCTAGCGAGGACATCAGATGTTAGCATATATAAAATATGTAGCATGTCAAAGGGTAATAAATATTTTGGAGAAAAATAAAGCAAGGGAAGAAGGGCTATGATATATAGGAGAGAGAATGATTCTAGTTTTAAAGTAGCAAGGCTTTTTCTTCTTAAAAAAAAAAAAAAAGAAGCAAGGGAGTGAGCTCTGCAGATAATTGAGGATAGACTGACCCAGGAGAACTATAAATGCACTGGGTATCACGGAGGCCATGGTGATTGACTAGGGTGAGGCAAAGAAATTATAAGAGCTAATATCACACAGGGCTTTCATCTGTAGATCACTATGGTGACTTTGGAGAACAGATGCTGGAATCCATGAGCCAGTGGGGCTGTGGACTAGGGTAGAGTGGCAGTGGAAGTGGCTATAAGCAGTCAGATTTGGGGCATTTTTTTCCTTTTATTATTATTATTTTGCTTGGGGTGTATTTTGAAGGTAAAACCAACAGGAATTGCTGAGGATGTGAGAGAGGAGGCTAAGCCCGAATGCATGGGTTTTGGCATGAACAACTGAATGGAAGGAGTTGCCCTTTACTGAATTGGAGGAACACTATCGAAGGCACTTTGTGTATGTTGGGGGGTGGGGAGATATGGGGGGATCAGAAGTTTGTTTTTATAGGACTTTTTTGGTAGTACTGGATTTGAACCCCAGGTCTAAAGCATGCTAAAGCAGTTTATTTTTATGTTTAGTTTTAGATGCCTGTTAGATATTCAAAGTGAAGACATTAGGGAGGACTTAAGACATAAGAGGCTAGAGATTAGGGGAAAAGGTCCTGGCTGGAAGCTAATTTGAGTTTTCAGCAATAATGGTTGGTAATTAAAGACAGTCGCTCGATGAACTCACCATGGGTATGAATATAGGCTTAAGAGGACTAAGTACTGAACTCTAGAACACAGAGGTAGGGGACATGAGGAGGATCCAGCAGAACTGTTTGAGGTAACTTATGTGAGGTGAGGGGGCATCAGGAGAGTGTGTTATCATAGTAGCCATACTTCATAAGTGACGACGGTGTTTCAAGGTGATGAGAGAATGTGCTATTTCAAATGCTGATAACTGGCTGAAGTGGTACATGCCTATAATGCCAGCTGAAGAGATGGAGTTTCAAAATTAAATAAAAAGGGCTGGGGTACATGTGGCTCAGTGGTAGAGCACCCCTGGGTTCAGTTCACAGTCCACAAAAATAATCAAATGCTACTGAGAGAATCAAGTAAGGCAGTTAAGAATTTATTCTTCTAGTACAATAGATACCTGAGGAGAGCTGTTTCATGGAGTGTCTGAAGTAAAAAGCCTAACTGGTGTAGGCTCACTAGTGAATAAGAGAACTGGACACAGCATGTCATAGGGAACTCTTTTGGGAAGCTTTGCTGTCAACAGTAGCAGGCAAGTTGGTTAACAGCTGGAGGAAGAGAGGGTTTTTGTTTAAAATGAGAGAAATTTTAAACAAAATGAAAGAAATTTCAGCATGCCAGTTGGGCACTTAATTCAAGATGGCATTTCAAGCAGTCCCATAATTCTTAAATTTGAAACTTATTTTGATAATGTTATAAGTTTTCATTCCCTACTACGGTCATCTCAGGAATTTTCTCTTTGGAGGATACGTGCACCTGTTGGTTATACTTGTCTGTAAGCCTTTTTTAGCACCCACCTTCCCCACTTTCATCTAAAATGACCATTGCATTAGATTCTATTCAGATCTTATGATGCATAATGGCATCATTTAGGGTTCTCTTTGTGGCATAGCTCCTTTAGGGAAGGCACTACTATTTCTCCATTTGCTTTCTACATTAACTTATGCAGCTTTTAGTATCTATGCATCTTGAAATAAAATAAGTAACATCTGGCTTGTCCATGTCTTAGAGGAGCTCATGGCCTAGAGCTAAACTGTCCAATACAGTAGTCACTATATTTAAACTGATTAAAATTAAATAAATTTAAAAATTCACTCCTCATAGTAGGCATATTTCAAATGTTCAACAGCCATATGTGGTTAGCAGCGCTTGTATTGGAGTGTAGATATAGGATATTTTCATGTTGCATGGTCTAGAGAATACTACTACTATACAATTAAAAATAAATGTGATAATTATTTTACTCATTTTGGTATTTAATCAAATATGAGCTTGTGATTTTATTTAATATTTCTCTAATTAAAAGGCAGACTCTTCATGGCTAGAGGACCACATTTTCTTCATATGTCCCACTGCGCTTTACTACAGTATTAACTGAGAATATTCAGTGAATATAAAATGGAATTTTTTCATTTACCATGGGAAAAATGTCATAGATGGGTTCTCCTGACTACTGGCTTAGAATCTTATATTCCATTAGGACCCAGGACTGTAGGGGATACCATGAATTTAACCCTAACTAGCAATCATAAGATCCAGATACCTTTCTTCAGTGCCTAGGTGTGGTATAAAGTGTAAGACAGATATTCTCTTGTTTGGCTATACATGACAATAACATAGAGAGCTTTAACAAAGTACTAAGGCCTGCTCTTAAATTCTGATTTAATTGGTCTGGGGTGTGGCCTATGCATCAAGATTTTTTTAAGTCAGATGATCTAACATGAAGCCAAAGTTGAGATCCACTAGAAGAGTTAGACCCTCAACCCTCACCTTCAGTTCTGCTCATTTAATAGCTTCAAATCAGTGTTAGCAGTACAGTTTGTCTTCTATACTGCTCAGTATTGTTTTCTTTCCCTTATAGTTTCTGACCTCAGTGATCTTTATGGTCCTTCTGACGCTGATGATTGTCACACTGGATCCTCCTCAGAAATTACCAGATTTATTCTCTGTATTGGTGTGTTTTGTATCCTGTTTGAACTTCCTGTTCTTCTTGGTATACTTCAACATTATAATCATATGGGATTCCAAAAATGGAAGAAATCGGAAGAAAATCAACTAGCTATATTCCCAAACAAATGTGAACTTTTTGTAATGTATAAATGAAATTGTTATTTTGAGAATCATGGAATAGAAAAAGAAATGATGAAAAGTCATTGTTTCTCCACAACATAAATGTATTTTGGGACCAAAGACCAATGGAGGCTTTTATTTTCTAAATATTGTTGGGCCAAAGCATATTGTAGTTTTTATTAATATTCAGTTATTTAATTAGTTAAAAAAGTCCTTAGTCCCAAGATTTACTTAGAAAATGTACTCTATAAATGATGTCTTGAGAAAAAATCTGCAAATAGCTTAATGGGAGAACCAAACCCCGTCTTTAAAGGAAACCACTAATTTTGGCATTCAGATTTAGTTTTCTTTGCATTGTTATCTCAGGGAATTTGATCTTCTTTTTAATTGCTGAGGCCAATTAAACTGCTTGATGTCAAATTTACAAATTTGAAGTTGTTTTTAATAAGGTGAATAGATTCTTATTAATTTCCAAGAATGTAGATTTACTTGAATGCATTTAAAAAATGATTTTTCCTGAATTTAAATCCCAATTATTCTGAAGTTTCTTAAGCTACTCATGAACACTAGTTCTAATGTTTTCTAGCATCATTCTATTTAAAGTTAAACACCTGGTTCAAGGTTACTTACCACTGGCATAAGCATTGATTCAAATCATACTTCCTGTTAATTTTATCCCTCTATTATCAGAATCTCTATTTACTATAGTATTCAATTGGTAAAAGTATTATATCCGTGTTGTATTTTCTCATATAAATATGTTCTCTTCAGTCTCTATGATAAAAATAAACCAAGTTTACCATTAACCTTTTTTTAAAAACTGAGTATATTTCTTTCATAAGATAGCCATTGAAGCATATTCAGGAGTATTTTTTAACAGTCATACCAAAAAGAATTTGGTTCTGGGTACAAGCTAGTCAAGATGCAAGAAGGTATGTATTGCTAAGTCTGATAAAGAAAGTGGGTTTAGACAAAGCAAAAATCGAGAAGTATTTCTTTCTCAGAGTAAATGTGCATAAAGACACAAGAGGGCAGGTCAGCACAGAAAAGCAGCCTTGAGTCACTGCCGATTCAGCAGGAACATCACTGTCCATGGTCACCATCTGTAATCACTGTGCCCAAATGTCAGCATCTTGGCTGGCTGGTATTGCCTTTCTTAAAAAAAAATTTTATAATAGTGTGTTTGCATTTAACATAGGATGTTGATTTATATTAGTGATGAGAAAATTCTGAGTTCTAAATAACTGGAGTATAGAAACTTATTTGAAATAAAAGTATTATTATAAATAATATACCCGTAACACTTGTATTCAGGGTGTCTTATAGTGGTAAATTCTATAAATAATAATACATTTTTTAGATGATTTAATCTAAATCATCATCGAATTACATTATAGCTTCTAAGTCCAGTATCTCTCATATTAAAAACTAATATTTTGACTTAAAAAAATTAGGTTCTAAAATACCAAGTATATCCAGTGATGAATTAATAAGATTACATAAGTCAATGAAATAAAATGCATTCTGTCATGTATAACTAACATTTCAGCTAGATTAAGGATTATAGGAATGTTCTAATATATTTAGACGAGTCAAAATTTTAGAAAAATTTCTCACTTTTTTCACTATGTATCTATCAAAAGATGAGCACTTCTCTGTTATTTCCAAGTACATTTTAGAGGGAAGAAGCATTTCTAAGTACAGTTTCCCCCATTGCCAATAGACATAGGTTTGCTTCTGAAAACAAGGAAGAGAATAGGGAGGAATAGGGAGAAAACGTATCACATATGAAGCAAACAGAAGTCATTTTTCCCTTGAGGCTTTAGGGAGGGGGAAAAATCCCGATGTAGCATTCTGTCCAAATGATAAACCACAAATAAGTGAGTGAAACATTTACAAAAGTCAAGGCAGCCAAAGTAGCCTCTCTGTTCAATAGATAAGACTAAGAGATGAATAGGTTGTAACTAAATAACTGTTAGAGTAACACAATGGTTTCAAGTCTCAATTGGTCTCTCTTCTGTTATTTTCATTGGAAGATCAGGGCCAAGTATATCCCCCTTTCCCCTCCCCCCATATAAACATTAGTTTTGTGTGTGGATTTTTCTGCTTTGTCCTTCATGCAGCCTCTAAGGGTGATAAAGCGAGAGTCATCTGATCTACAATGAAGAGAACTGGGAAATGATTCTTAGCAGCCCAGCTGTTCTGAAAGGCAAAAGCTTAGTATATCAAGAGGTCAAACATACAGTAACTGGTTTAAGAGCATTAAGCACATACCTACATAACTTGGATTATATATGAAACCAATCTACTTCTTAACCCTTTGTTTCCTAACTAATGTAGGTTACTTTACAAAATGTTTTGACTTGTATCCTGAGGTTTTGTTTATTTTAAAGTATTCTTAATATTTAGCAGACGATTATCTTAAGACATTTAAATAGTACCAAGAAAATCACTAATGAAGACAATTAGGTTTAATAGTTAACTGGATTACTATTTAGCACTTATATATAAATATAATAGTTTAAAAAAAAGACATGAATCTGAATTTAAGCGGAAAATGGGTTATTTTCCACCTTGTTAAATGGTTTTAAAAATACTATGGTATTTTTATTTTCATGACATCAAATGATACACAAATTCTGAGAATAACATTTGCCCCCTCTAGAAATGGTCAAGAAAAGTACAGACTTTTTAAAAAAATGTATGTTATCAAGCTATGATATATTCAGGGATGGGAAGTGTAGCTCAGTAGTAGAGTGTTTGCCCAGCATATGTCAGGCCCAGGGAGCCATCTCTAATAACACACACATGCATACACAAAGACATATTTTGTGATTTTTCTAAGTGCTTGCAGGATATAAAAGATGATTATGTCATCATTGTGAATTAATTCCCAAATCAACGTATTTTTCATGCATCAATTAAATGATTTTAATATCCACTTGCCATGTAATTTAGTACCTAGTTTAGATACTGATTCATTTTGTGAGCAACAATACAAATAAATGATAATAAAAACAATACAGAATAAAGAATTTAAATAATTTGGAAAGGATTAAATACTGTCTCATAATAAAGGTCTTTTTAATTTATTGGAGGCTGTTTAATTGAGCTAAAAACCAACTTCATATTTAAATGTAGTATGTACTAAAAAATACATTATAATATTTTACAAAATGTATGGAATTTAAAACTTTGAAAATACAAGCATAGAAAAAACAAGCGTATTATAATAATAAAAACTCATCCCTGAGGTAGTGGTTACACAATAAGCTTCTAAATGAGAGAGAATTTTTTATTATTTATTTCTTTATTTGTATGTGATGCTGAGGATGGAACCCAGGCCGTACATATGCCAGGCGAGCGCGCTATCACTTGAGCCACATCTCCAGTCCCTAAATAAGTTTTTAAACATTTAAAAAAACCTATAAATTAATAAGTACCTGAGGCTTTAAGTGGGAAAAGTGGTCCCCCGTTCAACTCGCAATTAGATTTAATCTGAGTTCTAGGAAAATATATAGCTCTAGCAGATGTACAGCCATTTTCAAACATACTTTAGTAACTATCCACAAATGCTAACAGTACACAAAAACATCCATGATACACAATGTAAGTCAAGATCCTCCTCTACATGCTGGCTTTATATTAAAGGGTCAAGAAAAAATGTAATATTTACATTAAGATTATCTATTGGTGTGTGTAGAAAGTTTAAATTAGCTGCAAGAAATTTTATCTAGACTTGCACCTGCCTAGTGCTATGAGCTGGTATTTACTGGGCAGATTAATTACAAATATTTCTTCTGTTCCTTTAAATATGATCAGGCAGATGCAGTTGTACTCATAGTGAGAGCATTTCTTCTAAATGCCTGCAAGATATAAAAGGTGATTATTACATCAAGAGTTTCTAAATGAACATAATCTCGTGCATCACTTAAGAAATAATTTAAACACTCATATATTATGTAATTCAGTACTTAGTTTAGATACTGGTAAATTCTCCTATGTTTATTTTTGAGTCATCTAAGCAAGATTCACCTTCATAAATACTTTTGTGACTACTATGACACAGGCCTTTTCAGTTTATGTGAAGATACTTACATGAGATACTTTCAGGAGAATTTTAAAACTCCACATGACCTACTGAAAACACCAAATTTACATGCCTTTGACTATAAGCCTTAAGGGACTATCAGCAGGTGTTTCCCCCAACAGCTGCCAAAGCAGGGGAAAGTGTTTACTGTAATACATTCCTATTCATAGTGTGTCCCTCTGGGGACTCCTAGTGGTGGTAGAGGTTCTTGTCTTATTTGGCCTTGGGAGAAGAAAGCGCCATTGGCAAATGATGGCATATACTCCCATTAGGCATGTGGCTCTTTTTTTTCTTTGCTTACGTAAGCATCTATGAAGAAGTACTACACAGTGGGCCCTTACATTTCCCTATTCGCTAAAGTCCACATATATTCTATTCCCTGTCTTATGGGATGCCAACTTGACAACTTATTTTTGCCAAATCTTTGTTTCATAGTCTGGTCTACATTTCAGTAGAAGATTTTAAGCACTCTAGGGTTCACTTAATATCTTTATAGAATACTGATACAATTGTTAGAGCTAATGATAATACTGTATGTCAAAGGGAGGCCATCATTTATTAGTTACTATGCTGGAGGTATTAAGCTAATTATTTTGTACACTTTCACAAGGCAAATATTAGTCCCATTTTATAATCAACACTTAGAGGAACGAACTGCATCATTCAGGTCACAGAGCTAAGTATGTAGTAGAATTGGTGTTGGACACCTAATCAAATCTTGGTTTTCTTTAAAAACAACAACAAAAACAGAGCCAGACCCTGCAAAGATGTTTCATCAATGGATCATGGCTGCTGGAAGAACTGTTAAGATTTTAAGGTTAAATCTAGGATCCAGCAAAATGAAATACTTTGATCAATGTGACATATGTCATAGCACATTAAGGAGTGGTAGCATTCATCCTTCAGAGCAACTACGTTAACATTATTCTTTCTAAAATGTTTCTGATCATTACTTTCATCATAATCTTTACTGGCTCACCTCTGTCAAAATAAATAAAACCCAAACATATTAGCTTGGTGACCGTAACGGTCAATGATGGGTCCGAATCTACCTTTACATCATCAGGCTTCTCTGCCCTTTTTGTTCACGTTGTTATCACTACCTTCTCTCAGCCCAATGGGCTTTTGTACTTCCTATTATCACGTGGTAAGGACACCATCTCATTCTATCACACCTACTAACAATCATGCATTTAAGGCAGGTCTATGTTCTTCATGGCCTTAGAGGCATGTGGACTTGTGGCCTATTTCAAGATTGAGCTTTCCTCTCAGTTTCTTCGAGCACACAGATAGAATTTAAAGTTTTTAGATTAAGTATGGGAGAGGAGATTCCATTTCTGCTTTAAGGCATAATCCACTTCAGCTACCTCAAGCTTCTGCCAGAGGTCTTTCCATGTTGAAGGTTTATCAGTTCCTCCACTAATTAGGTTGATACTTTCATCCTTATGGGACTCACAATCCTTATCTGTATTTGCTATTGGCCAGACCTCTTAGAAAGAAGAGTCTAGACTTAAAATTCTCTCTCTGTGACTTCCCAACGGCTACCAGATTATATAACCTCTGAACATAGTTTACGCTCTTAAGCCTATGGAATGATGCATACTGCTAGAAAGGTAGAAGGAAGAACATTTTTGAAGGGTAAGTGATGAAATCAGTATGGTAGCTAAGATTATAGGGTTATAGCTCAGTAAGGGAGGTCATAAATAGATTTGGAAATCTTTATTTTCACTAAGATGAATGATTTGAGAAATGAACAAAGTTCCCGAAGTAAGAAGGAAACAGTCAAAAGAAGAAACCAAGGAAATGCCTTGAAGATAAAATCTTTGTATTTAACTGTCATTTTTCTCTTTGACTTCTCAAAGGGGAGTTGCCTGGTAGTTCAACCTTAATTCTTTCTAATTTCTTTAAAGTATTACTCAAGCTGGGCACAGTGGTGCACATCTATAATCCCAGTGGCTTGGGAGGCTGAGGCAGGAGGATTGCGAATTCAAAGCCAGCCTCAGCAACGGGGAGGTGTTTAGCAACTCAATGAGACCCTGTCTCTAAGTAAAATACAAAATAGGGCTGGGGATGTGGCTCAGTGGTTAAGTGCCCCTGAGTTCAATCCCTGCTTACTCAAATCAAAGATTTTTAAACAAGTAATAAAAATAAAAAACCTACCTCTAAAATATGATGACCTCTATTAGCATCCCTGAACATAAAGTTATTAACAGTACTCCAGTTTCCCATAGCTTATTAATGAGACTATCATATAAATGAGTATGTTCATTTGCTAAATATATGGCTGTGAATATGTGTTAATGAATACCATCTAACATAATAGTTCTCTGTTGGAATTTTCATGGGTCAGAAATTCTATAAAATATTTAACATTATGTTGAATAAATTATATGTGTGTTTGAGTGTATTATTCTTAACAGAATACAAAATCCTTGACTAGTAGTGAAACCTGACATTTGTAGATTATTACTAAGTAGTGGTTAAGTGGAACCAGGCAACTCAGTTTACTGACCTGGCTTTCTGTCTTTGGTGCTTCAGGGAGAAAATACTTAACTTCTTTGTGCTTCAGTTTCCTCACCTATAAATAAAGATAATAACTGTATCTACCTTGAAAGTTATTGTGAAGATTAAAAAGATATGTATACAGTGTTTATAATAGGGCTTGGCACAAAAAAATATACTCAATAAATGTTAGCCATTATTATAAACAATTATTTATTGTATTAACATTTTGATAAATAAGTGACATAATTTTCTATGTAAGATGGCTTGCAATTATTTTAAAAACAACTTGTTTGTTAGGCTAAAATTAATTGCTTGAGATATTTCTAAAGAAATGAATTTTCTTAGGGAAAAAAAATAAGAAAGAATTATATTCTAAGAAATAGCAGGCAACATCTGGTTAGCTTCTAAAAATCTTTTAATATTGATGCCAGTGGGATAATACCAATTCCTAATGAGAACCTTGAGTTAACAGGTACACTAAATGCTAATGTCACATCATGACTTATATTGCTTCTAGCTTATTACTTACAATAAGATATGATAAACTATCATATGTATTGCTGAATCAATAGGAATTGTTTTGAAGAAAAGATACAATTAGTATAAAATTATTTACTTAATTGGAAATTATTAGCACATTTCCAAATTTAATAGGCTGGCTATATCTTCTTCAGTCAGATGTGTCCTATGAAAACTACAATCTATTTGTCAATATCTATTTAGATATTTATACCAAAGGTACTCAATTAAGGATCCTCTTATAGTTAAAAATGTGCCCTCTTTTATATTGTGCTTTTTCAATCAGCATTTAACTCACAGATCTTGTCGGACTGCTCTTCTGTTGTTTATAAGAATAAATTTCAACTAAAGCTCCAAAGCTCATGTATCTTTTCGTATAGAAAGACAGTATCATATCTGATAATGCAAATAAAATGTTTCCACTTGAACAACACAGGAAAAATCCAACAAAGTTAAGCTGAATTAGAAAAGTAAAGTAGTACCTCTTTTTAAAATGGCCTTAAGGAATTCGTAGCTGTCAAGATGACATAATTCTATATGAAAGAAGAAAGATTTTTTTCAGAAAACAGTTCAAAGTAACTTGTAACTCTATATTATGCAGAATAAATATTGAATCAAAATTAAAATTAAAAATAACCTAAAGTTTTATTTTACATGATAAATAGCTGTGGGGCTATAAATTTTCATGTCAATACCTGATTAGCCTGATTTTATTTTGGAATATACATTTAAAATTTTATTATAAGAGCCAGAACTTTATTATAATATATGCTTACCACCACTGTTAGTATACTCTTTATGCTTTATTATGATTACTTGTTGTATGTGGAGGATTCTATACTCCTGAGGGCAGGACAGTGTCTGTCTTGTTTGTCAGTGTATCCCTAAAGCTAGAACAATACTTAGTTCATAATAGGTATTCAATCAGCATTAAATTAATGAGGCATGCAAACAGAGTAATTTTCAAGTATTTGAAAATAATTAGATAATTCTTTAAAAAATTCTAAGAATGGCCATTCATACTCATTGCACTGCGATCTGATCTTCTCTCCAGATTCCATACTGAGGTCTGGGGCTACAATAGAGATTAAGACTTTGCTAAAGAGGAGTCCAGGGAGAGCCCTGTAACTAGAGAATTACAATGCATTCCAACAAGATACATTTAGAAATATTCACACAAATATTGTGAGAGCCTAGAAGATGAAGCAATTTGGCTTTAACTAGGAGAGCTGGGGAGAGAGAGCTTCACAAAGAATGGGACATCTGAGGCTGACCTTAAAGGATAAGCATGAGTTTGCTAGACAAGAAAAAGCAATGAAGGAGAGGAAGAAGTAGCAGGGAGGCCTGGAATACTGAAAGAGACTGCAGCAGGCTGAAGCATATGGTATGAAGTATGAATAAAAACGACCATTCTCCTCCTTCCTGAGGTCTGAGCTGCAGGGAAAAAAATCACCTAATATTTACTTTTTATACAAGTCCTGCTTTTAGCTATACAATTAGTTATATAATACTATAAATATCTAGTTTATTATATATGTATTTAAAATATATAAACCACTTAGATAATTTATCTAACTCTTAAAGGGGGTACTTTTTAAACTAGAGTTAAGATTGGAAAAAAATGTTCACCTGTCAGATGACAGAAAACCAATTTCTATAAATGTGCCCGAATAATTTTTCTGCACCTCAAGAACAGTTAGTCTTCAGTCTATTCATTACTGTCTTTTTATAGTATTTTTATTTAATAAAACCTATTAAGACTACCATACAAATCTCTTTACTTATGCTTTTATCTTTTAACTGATCAATTTTTATATTGCTGACATCCCTTCTTCACCATTTGCTCATTTAAAAATTCATAGTATGTGAGATCTGTCTCCAGAGAAAATGTCTATAAAATTTGTTACAGCTGGCAAATGTGTATGAGTCAGTGATAGCACATGACTAAATGCTTCACAGAAAATAAAATTTGTTTCTGTAGTAAGCAGAACTGTTTAAATGTTATTTATTTTTATGTTTCAAAGAAAATATATTGTGAAGTGCTGCATTGATTTAATACGCAACAATGTCTGTGTACACGCTGTAGAAGGAAAATTTATGAAACCTTTGCACAACTCCTTTAATTGAATTTTCCAAATCTCTCACCACACACAAATAATCAATATCTTCTGCAGAGAAAACCAGTCAGAATTATTACAGTCTTTCTTTTCAATTTTGTTGTCATCAGCACATACACAGCACCTGGATATTTGTAGTGTCTGCTAGCAAGTTATTTACACCTCTTAAACACATAATTGCTATTAAGTGAGTCCAAATCTATAGTTTAAACATTTTTTACTGATTATATTCAAAAGAAAAATTATCATACTTCTAGTAAAAGTATAAGGAATTAAGTCATGGGAGAAATTATTAAAAAGACTTTGTGAAGTAATAAACCAGTTTGCTTTTCCTGAAATCCTAGACAAATCTCAAGTAAGCATTTTCAGCAGCTGTACTGTACCCCCCCAAATAGTGATGAATAGTGTAAAACAAGAGCATTAACATTACTGATAGGAAATGTATGACCTTCATACAGCATATATGACAGCTGAATCTTTATACAGAGCTAAGGTCTATGGTGTACATTAATGTATATTTGTGCTACCAAAATTAATACCGCCATTGTTTTTACCTCCAGATAAATCCAGAATCTTAAAGCATAAGGGGAAATTTTTGTTGTTTCTCCTAAAACTCATCATGTCTAAACTTCAAACCTCAGTGCTTTAAAAATGGAAGTATCTGTTTGAAAAAAGATATTGTTTAATGTCAAGATATAATAGAAAAAAACAAAAGGGTAGAAGTCTTCTGGGAGTAAAATGATTTGGCTGATATGATGAATACTTTTTCAAGACTGAGTGGGAAAAGGACAACATATTTTTATGTTTAAAAAATACTTCAGTGGGTGGTAAGAATGAAAAGACAATATCAAACTATTTTATAGTCTTAGAACTGGAATTTAAAATTTATCCTGTAGATTAAGAATCTGATAAACTTAAATCCTATAACCAAGATTGAATTTTACAATGCAAGAACACAGTAAATTAACTAAAGAAGACAGGAACATTAGATTTATGCTATTTAAAAAAAAAAAAAACACCAGAGTTAAAAATTCTGAAATATTTTCTATTACAAACAGCTGAAACAATCAACTTTTTTAAACAATGCAAAGTTCAGATGATTATGTTTCATTTAAAATATGCATACTACAACCTACACAATTATTCTCAAAACAGATAAAATGTGTTTTGGACTGAAGCTAAGTGTTTGGATTTCATATCTTGGCAACTGCTCTACAATTTGCTTACATTCTTTTCAAAAACATTTTGTTTATTGGAAGTACTGGACACAGACAAACAATGATGGCATTTTCTACTATCTTCAGAAAAAACTAGAATACTAAATACTACAGAATGCCATCTATTGACTTAAGAAATATCTCTATCAAGTTGTTTTAAGTAGAGGTTGATTATTTAAAGCAAATAAATTTCATGCCTTACCATGTGATGATAATGTGACATTCTATCTGTATCAACCCATTGAATGGTCATATGTTTTAAATCTTCAGCATAACAAATTTAAAATAATTATGAAAATTCACATCCAAATGTAAAAGAAAAAGGACCTTTCATTTCATTATTTTCCTAATAGTCATAAAGCCAATATTATTAGGAGAAGTAAAGTCAGGCTTACTTCTAAGTAACTGAAAAAAAAAGAAGTCTTTCTTTGTTTAAGAAACTTGTCTTCAGCAGAGATCCTTTCTTATTCATATACTTTAGGAAGGCATTCCCTCATTTACAGGATCCAGTTCTTCTGAAAACCACAAAAATTTCAGTGTACAGTTTCAAGTTATGGTGTGTGTTTTAAATTTCTCTTGAATAAGTTATATAAAGCCTTAGGAACATGTCTATTTATTTAAAACACTAGAGTATTGTAATTATACTCTTCTTCCTGTAATAATGAAAAAACAAGTAGAAGTGAAAGACCCATTTGAAGAGGGAATGATAACAAAATTGTTGTAATTCTCCTGGTATTGTATGTTTTAATTATTCTAGGAGAATTTTATAAGAATCTGAAGGACTGCCCCACCAAAAAAAAAAAAAAAAAAGAGAGAGAGAAAAAGAAGAATCTGAGTGACCTGCTTTTGTTAGTAGAACATTAATTGGCTTATTCTCATTTTCATGATTACCTAAATGAAGCAAATCCAGTACTTACTAGAAGGGCTGATTTTTATTTTATATAATTTATAATGTAATGAAGATTCTCGATCATTTTAAAATTTAAAGAATTCTTGGTAATTATATAGTAAAATAAATAAAGTAGACATTTCTATAAAAGCTAAAAGACAAATCTCAAAATAAGGAACATATAAAGCAAGCAAGTTTAAGATGTAAAAAAAAAACTTTAAATTTTAAGTTCTCTTAAAATGAATTTATGAACAGGAAGGGGTGAAAGTTGTTAGCTTAGTAAAAAAATTATGTGTATGTGTGCCTATGCTAGTGTTTATGTATATACATCATCTTTAACAGCAGCAGCAACAACAAAACCCCCCAAACTAAAAATATACATGATAGAAACCAGAAAAAGAGGTGAGAAAAGCACTCAGTAAACCTATATGGCTCAAATTCAAATTACAAAGAAAATAAACTTATCTGTTTTTCAGGCAGCAATAGTTTTTCAACATTAGTCAAAAAGGTAGTGAAGTTTTAAATACCTCAGGAAATAACAGAGCTAATGTAGCTCTTGCTAAGAAATACAAATGGAAGGTGATAAATTATATATATATATAAATACCTATTAATATGTATTATGTAATTTAAAAATTTCAGTTTTTATTGAAGCTCCAAGTAATCAACACTTATTAGAAATTCAAAACATCAATTAATAATATAATTTCCTTTATGAATGAATAAAACTCATCCCTTTGGGAAAAACCTAATAATGGACAAGTTAGTCTTAATGTCTAAATAACAGAAAACAGTTAAAGCTGATCTTCCATAAATACACCAAGAACTGAGGTATAATGAATAAAAAGATTGCAAAAGTACCTATCCCCTGGAAGGAAAAATGTTTTAATTACAGATGAATAAATTCTGAAAAAATTTCTTTACATTCACTTTTTTTTCTAGTATTTTCCCTTCCTTATTTCTCAAAACTGTTGGTAATGCCAACTATATGGAATCTAATTCTAGTGAGTTCTAGGGAATTACAGATTTTAAAAACCATACTATTGGGATAGAATTTACAGAGAAAGGTTTCTTTCAGTTGGGAAATAACAATATAAATTTTACATTATGATTCTCTAAAACTTGTCAAGTTAGGAAAGACTGAAACAGTTATACATTCTAATCGAGAAGAGAGATTCCAAGCATATTCTTAGAAAGCTACCCTAAATATTCTTAAATTTTTGGGATCACAGTATAAATTAGATGCCTTTAATGAAAGGGCTCACAAAACCTGCTTCACTCACTTTCCACAAGAGCTTTGGAGGGTCTGTTATGGCCTTTGGATCTGACTGGAATCCTGGGCACATTCTAATGCATATTGGTTTGGTTGAACCAGTTTTAGTTATGAAGTTTATATCTAGAAGCTGAGATGACTGGGTGATTTCATTTGTTTCAGGAAGAAACATGAAATAATGAAAAGACCATAGTTTCTGAGGTCATACTGATCCTTAGTTGGAATTCCTGCTCTGTAACATAAGTAGCAGTGTCTTTGGGCAAGTTACTTAATATTTTTGGTGTTTGTTTCTTGTCTATAATGATAAAATGAAAAAAGCTATCTTGCAGTGTTGCTATAAAGAAATACTGATCCTAGTGTTGGAAACTGGTAATCAGTGGTAGTAACTGATAATTAAAAATGGCAGATTACAATATGGTGAGTCAAGGCCTAACTCCACTTGCAGAGATTACTGAATAGCATCCATGTCAGTAATATTAAAATGATCACTCTTTTTAAAGAGTTGGTCTAAAGGTTTTAATATTTTATAGTCCATGATTATTTCCTTCCTGAGGTACAGATATATATTTCTTATGGGAACTTAAAAACTTGTAATTGAAAGAGAAATGCAAAATAACACTATACTAAGATTTCATCTCACTTCAGTCAGAATGGCAATTATCAAGAATTTAAGTAACAATGTTGGCAAGGATGTGGGAAAAAGGTCCACTCATACATTGCTGATGGGACTGCAAATCGGTGCAACCACCCTGGAAAGCAGGATTGAGATTCCTCAGAAAACCTGAAATGGAACCACCATTTGACCCAGTTGTCCCACTCCTTGGCATATATCCAAAAGACTTAAAATCAGCATACTATAGTGATGCGGCTACATCAATGTTTATAGCAGCCCAATTCATAATAGCTAAGTTATGGAACCAATCTACGTGCCCTTCAACAGATGAATGGATACAAAAAATGTAGTACTTACACACAATGGAATATTACTCAGCCGTAAAGAAGAATGAAATTATGGCATTTGTAGGTAAATGGACAGAACCTGAAACTATCATGCTAAGTAAATAAGCCAATCCCAAACACCAAAGGCTGAATGTTCTCTGATATGTGCATGCTAACTCACAATAAACAGGGGTGGAGTGGGGGTGGGTTTAGAAGGGGGGTGCTTCACCAGATTACCAAATTAGACAATGGGGAATGAAGGAAAGATGGGGGGACAGGAATAGCAAAGACAGCTGAATGAGTCAGACGTGATTTTCCTATATTCTTATATGAATATATGACCAGTGTCATATATTGTACATCATGTACAACCACAAAAATGAGAAGAAGTATTCCAGGTACGTATGATATGTCAAAATACATTCTACTGTCATATATAGCTAAAAAGAACAAACAAACAAATAAACAAACAAAAACAAACTTCTAACTGAGTTTCCCATACTGTGAAATGCTCAGAGACATAATAGTTCAAATGTCACAATGTCATTAATGACTTAAAAGTGTCCAGGACACTGCTTAAAAAAGTAACTTTTAATGCTTATATGTCTTTCTAATTCACCATTAAAAACACTGGTATGTTAACTCATTAAGTCCTAAGTTGTCAATTCTACAAACATAATAGATATTTAAATATTATTTGAAAGTTACCATTAAGTGGTATATTTGTTGCTCATTTAAAGTTTTTATAGGTGCTTCACATCTGGGATGATGGGATGAAATGGGCTAATTAATGCATTGTTGTCCCAATTGTCTGGGTTCTGAAAAAGAAATTTTAATAAAAGGACAAAATTTAAAACTGTTATTTCAGAATACTTAAAAATTGAGTCATCAGGGAAGATGATCTTATTGGACTTGGTCTTCTGCTAAATGTAATATAAGGTTTTTCAGATGAGATTCGTAGTCTTAAGAATACACTAAAAGGGACTCACAATGATTGGTTTTATTTGATGAAATGAGATGAAAGCATCTCTTTATGCAATAAAATAAAACCATCTCTTTATGCAATAAAACACAGCCCTTTACCTTTGTGAGGAAGTACTGAATTCTTTTCACACAGCTTTTGTTTTCTTATTTTGGTCACTAAAAGAAAAAAAAAACATCATGTTAAGAATTAAAATGGATGCCTATAATCCTAGCGGCTAAGGAGGCTGAGGCAGAAGGTTTGCAAGTTCAATGCCAGCCTCAGCAATGGCGAGGAGCTAAGCAATTCAGTGAGACCCTCTCTAAACAAAATACAAAATAGGGCTGGGGATGTGGCTCAGTGTTCAAGTGCCTTGAGTTCAATTCCCAGTACCTGGCACCCCCCACCCCTGCAAAAGAATTAAAATGGAATGTGAAGAATTTCTCATTACTTGGAAGAAAAAATTTCATGAGAAAAAAGAATTCAAAACAATACCTATCTATAGGTATCAAGTACAAAATGCAATGCCTTATTAAATATCTCCTTTTAAAAATAAGCTCCACATAAAAGAAGTCTACTTGCAATTTCCAAGGTAACAATCTTTTCCTTCACATTAAAGAGTAGTCCCCAAAATAAAAGAAAAATGGAGTCTTATATATAAAAGAAATAGTATTTCTTTCACATGGCCATAGTGGTGCATATATAAAGAAGTCTATCAAATTTAAATTTGACAAAAATTAAGAGATTTATCTTATTATTACTGAAAACTCATAAATTTTTCTTACCTTTGGTGTCAACATATTTTATGTACAACCAGAGATATGAAAAACTGCTGTGTACGTGTAATAAGAATTGTAATGCATTCCGCTGTCATTTATTTTTTTAAAAAAATAAATTAAAAAAAAATTTTTTTTCTTACCTAGTTCTTTGGTTTTCTCCACTTCTCTTTTTAAGAAACATGATGAACGGGAGATACTAATGAGATTTTCAAGCTCTCTATTGCCCTCTAAAGCCTAAAAGCAAGTTATTTTAAATGAGTTAAAAAAAATTCTCTATAAGTGAATTTTCTATGGTAAGTGACATGGAAAAATTTAAACTCTATGTGAGGAAAAATTAGAAAAATTTAAACTCTATGTGAGGAAATTTAACATTTTATAGTTGTTCAACTATCATAAGCCTTATAATATATGAACAAAACTACATTAATTAAGATTAAACCATCTGTAAATTTACTATTAAATGTGAGAAAGCAAGTAATTACTAAAATATTATAGTTAAGTCATTTTAAATAAGCAGAGAAGTTCCCTTGAAAAGCAAATTAAACATATCCTTTGCAAATTCTTTACTGGATGGGATTCTGTAGTCTGGGGATTCTTTCCTATTATCTTCTTCAAATGGGGTAGTAGAAGTGTGAAAAATTCTATGCAAAAAAAAAAAAAAAAGGGCAAACCTTTATATTATTTAAATTTTTCATTATTTCCATGATTTCTTCTGATGATGTCTCAACTTTAGATAGCAACACCATGAATCTATGAGTGAAAAAAATTATTTAGCAAGAGTAAGTATTTAAATGCAGTACATTATTTTCAGAGCTTTAATTCTATTTAAAGAAACTTAAGATTCAGTTTTCTAATTTGTTCTTTATAGCTTTCAAAGTGGTAAAAGAAGTAAATGTTCCTCTTTCATTCTTCATTCTTTTACAAACACAATATACATTATCAACTATCCCTTTGGAATTTCACTCTCCTCATTGAACCATGGAAGAGAAGACATAGGCTTGTTCCTTTTCCCATAATAACTTGTGAACACTAACACATTGGGTTCACTTATTTACCTTGATCTGAGTTTATGAAGCAGTGTTATCCAGTGACTTATAACAAATTAGGTTTTATAGCTTATATCTTTCAGTGTGAAAAATATATGAAGGCAATTTTTAAATTTGAAAATAAAGGAAAAAAGAAAAAATCCTCCTATAATCCTACCTTCTGAACATATTTCTAGTTTGTATTTTGGAAAAATTCTTCTATATTAAAAATTTTTTTTTGTAAGTTTAAATTGTGCTTTTCTTCTTTTTCTTTTTCTTTTTCTGGGTACCATTCCCTTATCATGGGGGTTGAACTCAGGGGCACTCAACCACTAAGCCACATCCCCAGCCCTATTTTGTATTTTATTTAGAGACAGGGTCTCACTGAGTTGCTTAGCATCTCGCTTTTGCTGAGGCTTGCTTTGAACTTGCAATCCTTCTGCCTCAACCTCCTGAGCCGCTAGAATTATGGCATGCCTGGCATAAATTGTGCTTTGATAGAACATCCCACACATTTTTTCTTCCACATAGTCCAAATGTCTGTAATTTTAAAGGCTATATAATAGTCTATCTAGTAAACACACTAAAGATGATTCAACCATTCCCTTATCATGGCAATTTTAGAATCTTTTCCAATTTTAAAATCCCAGAGCTGTATATGATAGACTATATCAACATATTATAATAGAAATACAATGCAAGCCATATATGTAATTTAGAATTTTAGTAACCACATTAAAAGGAATAAAAATAGGTGAACTTAATTTTAGTATTTTCTGTAATTCAATACATCGTATATTACTTCAACATGTGTTCAATATAAAAAAATAGACATTTTGTATTTTTTGTCTATTTTATATTCATAGTACATCTCATTTGAGACTTGCCATATTTAAAGAACTCATTAGCCATTTGGCTAGTGACTCCTGTTTCACAGCACAAATCGTACTACTGCTTTTATGAGAAATCGAACACTTTATTTAAATACTTATCAAGATTACATAAGTGTTTTCCATTAAAATTTTTGTTATTCAAGACAAACAGTATAGGTTCAAATTTTCATACACATTGGGTACGTTCATAATCTATATATTCAAATAAGGAATAGAGATAAGACAACATTGCAGAAGCAGAAGATTATGAGAGGGTAGTAGAATTATGTGTGATTTTTTTACCTTTAAAAAATGTATGGAAAAAATCTATGGATTTCTTTTTTTTTTTTTTTAAATATTTATTATTTTTTAGTTCTCAGCAGACACAACATCTTTGTTGGTATGTGGTGCTGAGGATCGAACCCAGGCCGCACGCATGCCAGGCGAGCGCGCTACCACTTGAGCCACATCCCCAGCCCAAAATCTATGGATTTCAATTAAAAATAATTAGTCTGAGGATCCAATTGCTAAATACTGGAAGCTTAGTTTGAGAGAAGGATCACAATGGGATTCCTGCCTTTTCTAAGGAGCAAGTGGAATTATATGACTCCCACTCAGACTGGATACCTCCAGGTTATCCTATAGGATGTCAAAACCTACGTGCCCTGGAGTGCAAAGCAGAGGTAAGTAAGCTACTTTGCTACAGGAAGGAATCCTTGTATCTCATATTCCTTTCCTGGGAAAACTGGAGTGGCAAAACTCTTCCACACACACCATATCTTAACATGTGGTACTCCTTGTTGACCTTTAGGGAACTGTGTAGGAAGAGTTGGATCCTGCTGGACTTGTGCAATGTAGCATCCCCAAAAGGATCTCCTAACACTATACCAAATTAAGATAATCACTGAGGAGCCAGGCTAAGCAAACTGTTTTGACAACCTTGAACTGCATGGACTGAGTTTCAATGATCTAGAGGAGTTCTTTTCAAGACATACTTGACATGTCTAAACTGCTTTTTCAGGGACAAGTTTCTCCGCTGCAGGATCAAGTGGCCTAGTAGATCTCTTATTTTAATTTCCTTTCCTCTCCTCTTATTCCCTTTGCTTCTTCCTAGAGGAAGTCAACTCTTTCTACATCAATGGCAACCAAATTCCTGAAATGGTTTTATAACTGTCATTTATCTGTTAAATCTGAGAAATGCAGTATGTATGTTCTTTTCCCCGTCTTCTAAGTAGAAAAGCCTTCATAAACTTTGGAGATAAACTGCTTGCTGAGCAAATCTGGGGGGAAGTAAGGGTGACTACTTCTTCACCCTAGACAAAATGGTGTTGTTATAATCATGGTTATTACCACTTGTGATAACCAGATATTCACTGCTTACTGATAATTTTTTTTTTATATTTTCAAAGCATGATTCAATTCTAATTCACTGTACTGTGACAGCATTACTGTTTGCTTAAGAGTCACTCTTCAGTATCATCTCAATGATCTTCAAACATTTATTTATTTTTGAAAACTAACAATCTTTTACTTTTTTTCAACTGCCTACAGAACCTATTTATTATAGTATAACATTTCAAAGTTACTGTTGCTCTCCCTTTCAAGTTGGAGAATAGGTTTGCCTCTGGCTGAACTGGATCATATTATTAATCTTAAAATGATACTTTAAACTGTTCAGATATTGATAGGAGTGCATTGTCCAGATAGTTAGTGACTGCTGCCAGCTTTATGACAACTTATATTTTAACAAACAATTATAACATGACTTGAGAAAACAGAACTACTGGTCCTCCTTGAATTAACCTCTTCTTTGTTCACCAATAAAGATCCCAAAGTATTCATTTTTAGCATCTCGTAATTCAAGAGTCTGAATTGGTCCTTATGATACTTTAAAAAGAAATTATGGTCACATATGGTGGCACATGCATGTAATCCCAATATTACATGCCTATAATCCTCCTGGGGAGGCTGAGGCAAGAGAATTGCAAGTTCAAAGCCAGCCTCAGCAACTTATCGAGGCCCTAATTCAATGAGACCCTGTCACTAAATAAAATATAAAAAGGGACCAGGGATGTGGCTCAGTGTAAAAGTGCTCCTAGGGTTCAATCCCTGGCTAAAAAAAGAAAAAGAAAAAAGAAAAAAAAAAGAAAGAAAAGAAACTTATGATCCAATTGGTTTGGTACACTAAAAAGTTGTCTTAAGACCGGACATATTTGTCAGACTGCCTTAGTTCAGGGTAGATTCTTATGGTATGTCAACTGTGAATATCTTCTTTTCTCCTGAGAAAGCCATATGTCAAAAATTAAAATCCAGAATTCTGTCATTTTCTTCAGAGAAAGTTCTTATTATTAAGTGCACTGAAATTAGATTCTTCAGCCAAATAAAAGCCACGAGAGGCACTGGATGTAACCATTACTTATGCTTTTAGTTCTTTATTAAATTTCTGAAGAAATTCTCAAGTCATGTGTAACTTGACTTTTTCTTTCTTTTTTGGTGATACTGTCTGTGTATGGAACTCAGGCCTTCATTCATACTAGGCAAGCACTCTACTTTTGAGCCCTATCCCTTTTAAAATTTCTGGAAGACAGGATCTCACTAAGTTGCCCAGGGGTAGCCTTTAACTTCCGATCCTTTCTCCTCAGCTTCCCAAGAAGTTGGGTTACAAGCATAAGCCACAATGCCAGCCTATAACTTGATTTTTAAAACTACTATTCTATTTCAGTTCTGTGTTTTCCCTATCTTGACCATTTTCAATTATTTTCCATTCTAAGCTTTAAATTGTTTCATCATTGTGTTAGCTTTGTGTCACCATGACCAAACACCTGACAAGAACAACTTAAAGGAGGAAAAGTTTGTTTTGGCTCACAGCTTCAAAGTATTCTGTTTCTGGTCAGCCAGCTCAACTAGTCTCAGCTGGAGGAGAGGCAGAACATCATGGTGGAAAGGTGTGGTAGAAGAAAGCAATTCAGCTCAGGGCAGTCAGGGAAAGCAGAGAGAGGAAGGGGTGGCAGACAAACCCTTTCAGGGCATGACCCCAGTGACCTACTTCCTCCAACTAGGTCCCACCCCCCGAGTAGTCCACCGAGCTATCAATGGATTAGTCAGTGTGGAAGCTCTCATGAGCCATCTAATCATTGCTCTCCTCTGAACCTTGAGGCATTGGAGACTATATTGGTAAAAACCACATGAGCTTTTAGAGACATTCCAGGTCCAAAATAAAACAGTTATTCTCCTTTTTAAAATTCCTAAGATGTATTTGGAGCTAACATTTTTTTTTTTAGTGCTTTCTGAGTTCAAGGCATTCACTTAAAAAAACTCTGTAACCATTAAGCAGTAACTCCCTTTGCCCATCCCAATCAGCCTCTCTTAATTTATAGTATACTTCCTGTCTCTGAATTTGTCTAGTCTAAATATTACATATAATTGGAAACTTACAAAATTTGTCCTTATGTCTCTGCACATTTGCAATATTCACCCATGTTGTAGCATGTTTCAGGAGTTCAATCCTTTTAATGATGAACAATATTTCATTGCATGTACATATCATATTTTGTCTATCCATTCATCCAGTGATAAACATTTGGATTGTTTTTACCTATTGGGTACTGTGAAAAATGCCTAAATGAACAAATATCTGTCTGAATCATAGTTTTCTGTTTTGGTGGATGAGGCATATACCAAAGAATTAAAACTGATTTTGGTACTGGGGATTGAATCCAGGGATGCTTAACCACTGAGCTACATCCGCAGCCTTTTTATTTTTACTTTTTAAATTTTGAGACAGAGTCTCAGTAAGTTGCTTACGGCATAAGTTGTTGGGGCTGGCATTGACCTTGTCCTCCTCCTGCCTCAG